AAATCCACTAAAATTAATACAGTACTTGCATGGCATACGTGGAAGAATTTACGAAATATAATTCCCTCAAAAAAAACCACTTTTACGGTATAAAAGGAAAGAATTCTCTCTTTTTTAATTTTGGCAAAAATTTGGCCTGTCAGGAACTTTTTACCTGTCAGGAACTTTTTAAAAGTTTTATGGATTCCATACTAAACACTAATAATCAATAATAATAATTATTATTAATTAATTTCAATCTCACTTACATGTACATCATGTATATATTCAGCAACTGATGTCTCTCCTACTTCACCTACAGCAATAGCTAGTTTGTTCCATGTTGCTTCAATATCATCTGTAATCCATTTTGCTAAACATTCTCTAAGACATCGCTCAGCATCTCGTGGATAGTTAGTCTCGATAACTTTCAGATCATTATGAATCAAACCCAAGTAGAGACCAAGATCAAACCATTTGATAGTTTGAAAGGAACCATCTTTTAACACTCGTACAATATCTACCAGATCCCTGATAGTCAATATAACTATAAATAAATTTTGTAAAACTAGTGACAGTGAGCGGTTCTACCTTTTTGTTGATCATCATTGTACTCACTGATCTGTGTGGCTGAGTAATTAGTAGCTGGTTTGTCATTTTGAATTGTAGTCTCTAATTAAAAGTGTAAATGACACAAATATTATTAAACCACACATGATGACTATGTATTTACACTATACACAACCACTACTTAACAATTGTAATACCAACATACCTAGCTTTATTGTAGTCAATGGTGTCTTGAATTCTTCAATTATTTCAATCACATCCTACACAATAACAATAATAATAATAATAATAATAATAATTGATATTAATTTTGTCACTGTGCTAGGGATGCGGGGATTATGTGGGAATAAAAACGGGAATAATAAGCACTAAAGGAATACAGAATAATTTGGAAATTAAAATAGCTTTTATAATGAGAGAGCAGCTCCAGCCAATCCTGTGCATCCTTTTCAGAATCTAACACACAACAATTAGTAACATTTTGACTTCATACTAAGCTACATGTATACCAAGGTACTCTTTCTTGGTTATACATGTGTACATGTATAAGCAAGACAAATCATTTTTCCCCATGTTGAGGCATGAATCAGTAACTATTTTAAAAGGTTTTTTTAGAATATTGAATTAATTTTGGAGAATACATGGAAGTTCTTGATTTTTAGAGACATGCTGAATGCTATAATATAAAAATTTTCGCCTACCCCTACAGTGGGCTTGTTGATATACATGTACATGTACATCAGTAGTGTATTGCCTAGGGCTGGGAGATATGCAGTGACATTTATTGGATATCCACTATAACCATGCATGGTACCTTTGATCTGTATGGCTTCTGAATGATAAACATAAGTACATGTATAATACTATTAGTAGTAAAAGCCACATACAGACAACCCACAATTATGACAAAGACTGAGTAATTTTGATAAGAAATAAATTGTTTTTAAGACATGTATGACCTTTTGATTATTATTATAGTGCTTGTATTAATGTATCAAACAGTTTTTGTGTTACATGTAATTCTTACCTTGATATCACGTCCTCCTAATAGTGACAGGTTACTAATATCTGATAATGATTCATCAAGTAGGATCTCCTTCAATTCTGTTTGACCTTTATTGCTCACAAAAAATGGTCTCCCTTCCTTCACTGCTGACAATAAATCACAAACATCATAAACTGTCCTTTCTTTTGGTGTATTCACAGGATAGGCTAGTTCATTAGGATCAATAACTAACTCTTTTACTTCTAGACTGTGACAGGATTCTTTATAAACACTCATTACCTCTCCTATCACATCTCTTCTTACTGACAACATATTGTCACTGTAACCTTTCTCACAGGATATCATTACTAGTACACACTGGCTCTCATCCACAATCTCTACCAGTGATCCTACACCATGACCATTAAACCAGTGAAGGCCGTTACTCCAAAATTTGCATTTACGATTCAATTTTTCAGCTAATTCCTTCTTACCTTTTGATAACGAAAACTTTAAAGCAAGATGTAATGAAAGGACGTGGAAGTATCGAGGAGGAAAGAAATGATGTTTACTAGTACACTGTAGACACCAACCAAACTGGTACACTTGACTAGTCATCTCATCAGGTCTATCAGTAGACAAAAGACATGGAAAGAACAACAACCTTTCTCCTCTTCTTTCTCTCCCTCCCTCTTCCTCCTCTTCCACAGCTAACTGATGGAGGTTTGTCATTCTTAGGAAAGATGGATCCAATTCTTGACACAGTTCCAAGTTCTTCAGAAAACAGATCAACATGTCAGGATCATATTTAGGGAAGAGCCTAGTCAGACCAGAAATACACACAATACCAGTATTGCTAGCAATGTCAACATGTTCTTTGAATGTATCTGGAGCAAAGAGAATCCCATCAACCTCAGTTAGTAGTATACCCTTATTCACAACAACCCATACCTTGTATTCACTTTTAAGAACACTGATCAAACCAGTTGAGTGCAATGAATGAAGAGCATCCAAGACGTCTTCTCTCTTATCTGGTATAACATAATTGTCCTTACCAGCAGACATTAGATCGGAGAAGGTCAGTATATTCTCTTTCCTTTCTACCAGTAGTCGGTACATTTCATGATGATAAAGATTGAATTTATTCCTTCCATTTTTACTCCGAATGGACTCACAGGCACTGGACAACTTATTAAAGAAGGAAACCAAACCACTCCCACCAAGCTTACGGCAATCTAGGAAGACAGTATCACACCTTTCCATTGTAATAATGATCTCCTGTATTTCTTTCTTTCTCCTCCTTTCAACAGGATCACTTATCTTATCCTTATGACTGACTATCACAATAACATGGCACTGAATAAGAGCTTTCTGTGCTTCATTTCTCACAACTGTTAGCCACTGATGAAGCTGTTTGACTGCTTCCTTTTCCAAAATATTGACTACTATCAGGAACACACCACCTGAACCTTGTAACAGATTCTCAATGACAGCACTGTGACTTGAGTAATATTCTGAATGACCAGCAAAATCATGAAGAATGATGTTACCCAGTGTCCTGTGTTGAAGTTTATAAGGAATGATACCAGCAGTACAGGGCACTACCACTCCAACATTTCTAAAGGAACCAAGAGCAATAGAACCAGTAGCTGTGTCCTTGATGACATGACTAAGAGAACTTTTACCAGCTCCAGAATTACCCACCAAGAGTACATTAACATAAGAATCAATTGGATGAGATATTTTAATGTCACCAAACTTCTTGAAGATATCAATGACAGTGTCACTATCATACTCTCTCTCTTTAGCTAGTTGTAACGGCGTCACCCCATTATTGTCTTTAGCCAAAGGATCACAATTACCAGTTAATGAAATGTATTCAACAATGTCAGGTATACTCCACCTGGCAGCGTGATGAAGAGGTGTTTGTCCCACCACATCAGTGACCATTATATCACAGTTACACTGGTCAATGAGGTACTGTACAACATCTATGTGTCTAATGGCATGATGAAGAACGGTCTGACCATCAGTATCACGATATCGCTCGTCCATTATATGACCATTGATGTTCATGACCATACACTTCAAGACATCAAGTAATCCTTCACTAGCTACATAATGAAGAAGAGGGACACACTTTTGCCCAGCATCAGTACGCTTCATTGGATCACAGCCCCACTCTTTAATAAGATATTCAACAATATCAATGTGATTACCCTTAGCAGCAGTACAAATACAGGGTTCACCATAGTAGTAGTACTCACGCGGATCAAAACGGTAAACTGTGACGAGATCTCTTGTAACATCTAACCAGCCATTAATTATAGAATAAAAAAGCAAGCAATGCTCGTCCCGGCAAAGTACTTCAGGATCCTGTAAACCTAGTAATCTAACAGCTTCTTCGTGATCTCTTCTTGTAAATGCATCCCAACATCGGGGGGTTGAAGAAGTTGCCATTTTGGATCACGTGATTTAATAATATAAGTCTTACCATTATGGCCATAGAGACACTATTGACAAACTAGATGGTGGATAAGTGTTTGTTGTATCAAAAGCCTCTCCCTCCCTCTGCTCCAGTCAGTATTTGAAAACTAGCAGTAGGCTAAGACTAGTAAAAAGACTAGAGCTCTCCCTCTCTCTAATAACAAGAGAAGAAAAGCTGTAGAACAATGAAAATCATAACTTGAAACTGAGCCTGTGGAGAATTCTCTATTAATTATTTTGTCACTTTTAGCAAAATTTGGCCAACTAAAACTTTAAACCTAATTTTGGAACAGCTTTAAAAATCAAATTTTGATTCAGACCAAGTCAAGCTTTCTACAAAATAACTGAGTACATGCAGTTATGCTTCAGATAAATTTTCATCAGTTTTGACAAAAATTTTGCTAAGGCCAGTGATCATTCATGTAGATATGTAAGTGCCATAATGCAAGAATGTTGGCCTGATTTTGGAGTAACTTTTATGATCCGTATGTTTTATTATACATCTAAATATAAATTATCATTATTATCATGTTTATTTATTATTAATTACATTGCTGGTGAGATTGGTAGATAGTTCACAAATAGGTCTGTTACTAACAGTAAGAACAGCTGGTACTGGTACTGATACAGCTACAGTCCAGTAGCTGGACTGGTATCATCTTCATTAAATGGTTTAGGAATATCTAAAGTTAAATTCTCTCGTATAGTATCACACTTCTAATCAGGAGGATCAGTGGTATCATCATCACCTCTGTGTACCCTAACCAGGAATGAATCATACATGTGAATCAATTAATGCATGATCATTATCCATCATTGATCAATCATTGATCAGCATTAACCAGTCATTAATGAATTGCAATCAATAACTGACATATTGATCAATCATTGGTCAATTCCAATCAAATACTTGATCAGCGCCAACCAAATACAATAATTGATCAGTAAAATAATATATCAATCAGTATCATTAACACACTTCGATATGCTGGTATCTTCAGGGTTAGAGTCACTGTTCTCTCCTGATGCCTTCCATCTCTTGTATCTCTCTATCAGATCAACTAGACATGATGTGTTCTTGGCGTATTTCATAAACTTGTGATGTAACAGGTCACGAGCACTGGGTCTCTGGAAATACATGTCCATGTATAGTGTATGATAAAATTATTTTCATCAAAAATGATTTGGTTATAAAACTACAAAGTATTATGTACATCACATATACATGTATGCACATGTGGGTAGGATAAATTAGGCAAAATTTGCTATGGAATAACTTCAATACATCGGTACAAGTACATCTACTTACCTTTTAGTGCAGTACTACATGTACATGTACAATTTACATGTACATGTACGTAATGGTTTCATTTTTAACTTACATTATTTGGGTCCTTATTTAAGCATATGGCAATGAACTCTTTAAAACTTTCAGAATAATTCCCGAGGAGTTCTGGCGGGTTTGATTTCGGTATTAGAAATAAAGCTCTTATTGGATGAAGGTCAGCATGAGGAGGTTGACCCTGAGCTAATTCAATAGCAGTAATACCCAATGACCATATATCAGCCTAGGGAGGGAGGGAGGGAGAGAGTGAGTGAGAGAAAAGGGAGGGAAAAAGAGAGGGAGAGACACAGATGTTTAATAAACACAATAATTAAAGTCACAATAAATAATTATGTCTTAATTAATGCCAACATGTATTGCACTGGACAATAAATATCCTTATTCTCGAATTATAATGTTGGCATAGAAGTTAAAAGAATTGAAACACAATTACTGTACTTGAAAATCAACATACCTAGCATTGATGTACAATGTATCGTCAGACATACAGAAAACTAGCATCCTATAGTCTAGTCTACATGTAAATGTATATACTGCTTTCATTATTACCATATAGGGGTTATATTTCACATTAAATTCACGAAATTAAATTTGAAATTAAATTCCACAAAAAGGTGTGGCACACTAAGAAAAATGGCAGCAGAAGGTAAGATTCGCGAAATTTTATACCAACAAAATAAAACCTCCATACGGATCACAAACTCACTTTAGTATCGTAAACAGTCCGAGTGATCACTTCTGGTGCCATCCAAAATGGTCTCTCTACAATAGTATTCCTCTTGTTCATGGTGTCTGTCAATTGTCCAGCAACACCAAAATCAGTTAATTTGACTTGACCAGTTGTTGAAAACAACACATTTGAAGCTAAAAATGATAATAATGTGTATTATTATTATTATCATCATTCAACATGAACCGCATAATTCTAAATTTTAGTCAGGCAAAAGAATTTGTCAAAATCTTAATTACAATGTACTTCTTAAAAATTTATCTTTCTCAATAAAAATGTCATTATTTTTGTTACAATTCCACATACTACCCATGTGCAACAAATATTTTTGTCAGTTAAAAATTCCATCAAACAAAAATCTTAACAAAATCTATGGAGTTTTTAACCGACAAAAATTTGGAGCAATACGGTAAATGATTTCCATAAAATGTAATGCTTTATTGATTGTTGCTTAAAACCATTCAACTACAGTGTAGCCTTCATAATGAGGGTACATGTACCTTTATAATGAGGACATTTTGTAATGCCCCAACTGGTATAAATCTACATGTGTATACAAAAGTATTTTTGAGGGTAGGTAGCATGGACCATATGGTATCCTTAATAAAAAGGCTTTGCTGTGCATGCATTAAAGGCATGTAGTGTGGGCCCAATGGTGCCCTTAATAGGTATTATGAACCCTTCATGTATGTACATGTACATGTTTGTTATTATTAATTTTACTTGTCATTCTTAAAATACCTTTAATGTCTCGATGTAACTTTCCTTGAGTATGTAAGTAGTCCAGTCCATGGAGTACCTCACGAAGTATTGTAGCTATGTATACCTCTTCAACTGGACCAGGCTGCATCTAAAAAAAATAAATAATAATAATCATAATACATTGTACAGTATATACATGTACCTTGTACATGTGCTATATACATGTATTATGTATTCTGCACATGTATAACAGAAGTGTAATAAAAATGTACATGTAAATATGTAAGATAATTTTAAAGGTATACTGCATGCATGCTTAGTGGAAAATTTTGGAGAGAGTTAAAAATTTGGGCGACATTTTAATAGCCATTTTGTTGAAATTAAAATCCTCCATTTTGAACCGTTCTGCATATTCACAATAGCAGATGGCCAAAAATTTGCCAATTAAAATCTGCCAATCAGAAAAATTTAGCAAATCATCAAATTTAACTCCCTTCAAATTTTTCCAATATACAGTATAATTTTATGAGTACAATGTACATGCATGTATTGATGTACTAACTAGGTCTAAAGCCGATCCTCCTCCTAAATACTCCATTACAATCCAAAGCTTAGTCTCCTACTTATAAAATTCAAATAATTAAATGCATAATTTTAGCATCTCTCTGCCTCCATGATGAAGCAATCAACACAGACCTTTACATAAGATCCATAGTACTTAGCTATGTACGGACTGTCACACTCAGGCTGGACACTGATCTCTCGTGGTATGTCATCAATCTCAACCTCAGGCTCTTCCAACTCGATGATTTTAAAAGAAAGTACTTCTTTACTTTTAATATCAATACTAAAGAACAAATAAAAATAAATACGACAACAAACAAGGACTAAAATATTAACAAATTTGTTTCAGCATCCACCCTCCCTGCCCTCTCTCTTCTTTCAAAGTTTTCTTGGATATGTGAGCAAGTACACCGTTACACTTATATAGTCTAGACAGGTGTGGCCTGACCCTTGCCCTCAGTCACAAGCCAGGCAATCCTACAGCCTACAGTCAAATGACTGTAGGCTGAGAATGGTCTGGCTAGAGATACTAACTTACATACACTGTACAGTGTCTTACCCTTTGAATACTTCACCAAGAGATCCTTTTCCTATCTTTTTCAGTCGAGTAAAGAGAACCTCAGGGTCACCAGATTTACCCTAACAGTGTATTAAGGATGAAGAGAGACGTATTAAGAGAGATTTGCTTACCAGAGGAGTCGCCATTAGAGTAGGAATATCTTTAGTCTCAAGGGTCTGGCCAGCGAGATAAGGAATATCTGGGAGTACATGTATGCAAATTGAGGCAAAATGAATAAAATCAGCTGATTCAGCTCTAAAATTAGCCACACCTTTTTAGTAGTCTACTACTATGCTTGTAGATTGAGCCACCCCCTTTTGCAACTTGTAACGTCTTCATACTGTATCTTTTCATTTCTTTTATCTTTTAACAGCCATAGAGGTAAGTATATCACAGTTCATTTAAATTATAATTTACTAATAATTATAAGATGATTGATGTCTCTCAATGGAGGGCAAGTGTTGGACTGTGGAACTACTGTCAAGCTTCCTCCAGTACACCAGCCAATGGCCACCACTCTCACTCATTTAAAACTGCATTAAAAAGCAAGTCAGGCAGTACTACATCAGGAGAGGAGACATTTAAACTGCCAGGAGCTCTGTCTCTTATTGCTTTGTTCCTCCTCCTCTTTCACTCTCTCTCTTCATTAAGATACATCTTGGTGATTCCTCCAACAGGTAAGCAAAAATTGCAAATTTGTACATAATTACTGGTACATCTGTATTCTATTGTTAGGTAACTGCTACCAAGTACAATGTACTACTCCTATTACTCTTACTAATACAGCGAATTACCTCCAGTCAGTAGTCTTACCTGGAGGCAGCAGTTCTAACCTGATTTACAATGGTCACTATTTGATTGTTTATCTATGTATGCTCCTCCTCTTATCAGGAGATGTTGAACTCAATCCTGGTCCTATAATTGATGATCAACCTGATATTTTCCTATTACTTCAATGGCTTCAACCACTTGTTGAATGGCAGCCATTTGGTCTTTTCTTACCTGGAATAACACAACAAGATATTACAACAATTGAAGACTTTGAAATTGATACTGAACAAAGTAAAGAAGGTCTGTTTTCTAAATGGCTTAAAAAGAATCCTACAGCAACATGAAAAGATGTACTCAATGCATTGACTAGAAGAGAAGAGATCAATTTAGTACAAACTATTACTGATCAGTTACAAGTACATGGTACAGGAGGTATATGATCATGTATTTATGTATTAATAATTACAGTCTAGTAAATCTATAATAGGTGATAATGATCCTTCTACATCATCAGCAGTTTCTGTGATTAATAAAACTCTAACTAGTGCTATATCAGGTAAATATACACTTAATATACAACATTTGTTAACTGATACACTACTGCATGCAGGTGACACTCCTAATGATATATTAAGGATGAATTATGCTACTCTTATTGATGCCCTTACTAATACTCTATATAGAGTAACAAATGGACTATATGCTAAAGGACTAATACCAATGGAAACTGTTAACCATATTCAAACAGCAGCTTCTTCTGATGTTGTTAAGTCTGGACAACTAATGTCTGTGATACAACGACAGTTGGAATCCTCTCTTAATCCAGAGCAGTATCTAACTAAAATGTGTCAAGTAATGGTAAACCAACAACATTGTACACTGACACGTATTGCTACCTCTATAGCACACCAGTTAGGTGAGTGTGTGTACACATTATCAGTAATCAAAATAGTCATTATTGTCTCAATGCATTAGGTCAGTCTTTGCCTAATAGTGTCACATCTATTAGTTTAATACCTGATGATGTTTAAGGATATGCTGACAATATGAGGCAACACTACAAACACCAACCTATTGTTGCTACAGACTGGCCACCAAGAATTGGAAAAGATTTCTTTGGAAGGCTAGCATTAGTAGAGAAGCAAGACTCCAGCATACAAGCAAAATCAGCTTGGCATATGCTAAGAGGACAAGTTGATAAAACAGTTAAACTAACTGAAAACAAAGAGATAAGTGTTGAAAATGTCCTCCAACCTACAAATAGTTCTCTGTCTCTCAGAGTAGTAATAGATGGTCCTCCTGGTATTGGCAAGACAACACTCTGTCGTAAACTTTTAAACTTGTGGTGTAATAAAAAACTTGTATATCAACAGTATGATTTGGTACTTTACTGTCCTTTAAGAAATAGCAAGATAGCTACAGCTACTACACTAGCTGACCTGTTTGTGTGTCAACGTTATGAAGTTCCCATGGTAGCTGAATGGTTTGAGAAGAAGAGTGGAGAAGGACTACTGATAATCTTTGATGGTTGGGATGAACTATGTAAACAGCTCAGACAGTCTTCATTAGCAGTTAGTATCATTTGTAAAGAGAAATTAGACCAATGTTCAGTAATTATTACCTCTCGTAGCTATGCTTCCTCTTCACTTTTAGAAATCATGTCTAATCTCAGTAGGCATGTTCAGGTCATTGGTTTTTCTAAAAAAGAAATAATTATCATCAGTGATTATGCACACACTTCAAAAAGATAAAAAACTAGCGCAAGAAATTATAACGAAATACTTCAATAGAGATGATGATAGTGACAGTGATGGTGATGATGAAGTGAAGTTACCAACAAATGAGGACTCACAACTAGCAGTGAAACTCATAAATGATCTTAAAATACGAAATGATGTCCAATCATTGTGTTATGTGCCACTAGTCTGTTCCATGGTCATCTTAGTTTATTGTAAGGAAGGAGGACACTTACCAACAACACTCACTCAACTGTATGAGAACTTTATCCTACAAACTATTAGAAGACATGTTAAAAGACATGACATTGACCCACATACTTTAGGTAGCCTTTCTTCATTACCAACACAATTAGCTAAACCTTTACAAGAGATGTGTCAATTAGCTTATACTAACCTGGCTGTTACAAAAATGACATTTTCTTCACATGAACTACAGTCACTGAGTGAGGCAGTCAAGGAAGAATATTTTGGATTAATGACAACATTCACAGAATATGATGAGAAAAAGTATCAGTTCCTTCACTTGAGTATACAGGAATTTCTAGCTGCATGGTGGATAGCTAAGCATGAGAAGAAAACAGAGGAAGTGTTTAAGTATCACTTTGATGATGATCACTTTCGAATGTGTCTGAGGTTTGTGGCAGGTCTAACTCACCTTGAACATGAGAGCTATCAACAGTATTTTAATAAACCATTGCAACAACTTGACTTACAGTGTATGAAGAAACCATTGTTTGGATTTGAGACTTGTCATCTCTCCTACTTCTATCAGAATCCTGGGATTAAATTTAATAACTTTATAAATAATCATGTCAGTTCTAATGATTTTGACAATGTTCCTATTCTTCTTCTTCAACTCCTGTATGAATCACAGAACACAGAATTATGTCAAGTATTAGCACAATCCATCAACAACCACTCATTGTGTCTGGATAGTGATCGAGTATCATTGTCATTGTTTGACTGGTTGTGTCTCACTTATTGTATGAACAATTCCAACACAACATGGAATCACTTGCATCTGGGGACTGTATTTAACCAGGAACTATCAGTCTTCACTGCTGGACTAACCAATAATTCACTACAGACCCAGTGTAAGAGACTGGAAGTGAGGTTGCATAAACCTACTGATGAACTAATGCACAAATTATTGCAAACATCACTTTTATACACTATTCAAGAGTGCTACAGTGAATTATATGAAGGTCAATATGTTCCCTGTCTTGTATTGCTACAGTTCCTCAATCTTCCTCAATTAAAGATACTGCACTTAATAATCAAGCATCCTACTATACCAACAGCTGACAATACATATTACACAGACAAGTGCACTGAACTTGAGAAATGTATAGAAATGAATTCAACGCTACAAAAAATGAAAATTGAGTATAAAGGAGAGAATGAAGTAACAAGTACTAACAGTGTCATTAGAGGAGTAACAAGAAATAAAACAATAACATCATTAAAAATACGTGTTACTACTCCTCCTCCCCTACCTGATGGAGTGATAGAGCAGTTACTAAAGGACAACAACACATTACAAGCTCTTTCACTGGACATACTTAATCATCTCCTACCATCATCACTGAATATAGTAGAGGTAAACACACCACTGACTGCTCTAGAAATAGGAAGAAAAGGGTGGTGGAGTAGTAAACTGATGACATTACTCCTTCCACAAATCAAAAGACTACACTGTCTGATGCTACATGATCCACACCCACCACATCTTCTATTTCTCTCTCATCCCAGTCTACATACACTTAATTTACCACTAGACACAGCTGAGAGTGCTACTGAACTATTTACTATTCTACAAACCAATACTATACTTAAAGCTCTGAGTGTGGAGATAAAGGAGGAGAGAGTATATACCAGCAGTATGGGAACTAGCCTACAGGACATGCTAACACAAAACCAAACACTGAAATACCTTGAGATTAATAATGCCTCTTATGATATATTCATTCCCAGTTCATTCCTAACACCTGGTCTCAGACACAACACCAGTCTACAACAGTTGTGTGTATCCATTCCACTAACTGAAGAGATAAAAACTTTTTTTAATGTCATTTCTCAAAAGAACAATCTCACAGAACTTAAAGTAAACTTCAAATCAGATCAGTCATATGGTAACTATAGTTATGAAGAGATAAAACAAATTTTCACACAATTTTTTTTATGAACAGGTACTACCTGTTGTTACTAACATGTTACAGTTACATACAACCATACGATTACTGTGGATAGAGTGTGAATTTATAAATTCTTCATCTCAACCTAACTGGATAGAACTAGTGCAACATTTATATGAAACTATCTTTATCCATCCTTCACTTGAATATATTGAGATTGATACTGGATACACTCCTCGTCTCCTGGTGGATACTCTTAAAGATTTCAAGAAGACATTGATAGATAGAAACAGAAAAGAACAACCATACAAACCACTACCAATAGTGCATGTATCAAGTTATTAGAATATTAATTTTTATTAATTATTACATTATTGTATGTATTATAAGGATTTAGTTATTTTTACTAGTAAAATAAGAATTGTTAATGTCATAGTAGGTTGATTTTACCTAAAAATAAAATGAATTAATAATGAATTGAGTCTGAAATGCTAAATACCATTAGACTGAGAATACCACCAAACAAATGTAATAGATCTAATAATAATAATAAAAATAAAAGTAATAACAATGATAACAAAATAAAAATAAATAACAAAGATGCCATGTGCCATAAAGAGGTTTAAAGGTAGATGGTAGCGTATCCTGAAACATAAAAGCATTTCCTCTTTGAACTGCCACCAATAGTCATTAGAGAAGAAAAGAATATGCCCTCTTGTCATGTGAGCTAATACATATCCGGCGACCAATCTCCTATGATGATCTTGTGAGATAGAGGACCTAATGCGCCTAAAGACTCGATAGCAATAGGAGAGAACAGGTAGGAAGAGGAGAGGGTGAAGTATTTATTGACCTTACGAGACTCAGCGCTAGCAGCCACTGAACCAGTCCCATTGAGAGCTACTGATCTATAGGACAATGCAAGAGTGTCAGACTGTCAGGAATGGTTACATCCAATACCAGGGGTTTTGCTATCTTATTTCTCTCTCCTTCTCTCTCTTCTCTATTATTTAATTTGTTATCAATATTATTATTATTATTATTATTATTATTATTATTATTATTATTATTATTATTATAAACAAAAAAAGAAAAGAAAAAAACCAAAAACAAAAAAAACAAAAAAATTGTTGTGTTAGAATAATAATAATAATAATGATAATAATAATAACAATAACAAATAAGATTAATAATGAATGTTCATTACTTAGGAACAGCCAGTGCTTCTCTTTCTTCTTTCTCCTCTCACAGCTCTTCTAATGGCCTCCTCCTCATATGACAGATTAGCATCAAGACTAGGTTTACTGAGATTTGTAGATACAGAGAGAGACAGACAGACAAACAGAGAGAGACAGACAGACAAACAGAGAGAGACAAGAAAGAGACAGAGAGAGAGACAGGAAGAAGTTTATTATTAATAACATGTAAAGGAGACAATACATGTGTTCTTTTATAGTATATTTTACTATTTTTACTGTACAGCACTTCAACAGTATTTACAGCATTTTATTTGATGATTTTCAATTTGAAAATTTTGTGAACATAATATATGTAATATACATGTACTCATCTTAATGTAACTTAATCATTAATTTTCGTGCACCAATAATTATTTTTCTTAATAATAATAGTGAAAGTGATAACAATAAAGTATAATAGTGGTAGTAGTGAACCATAAATAGTAGTGAAAAGTGAACTAGTAATGGTGATAATAATAACAATAACAATGATCATAATGTCATCTTTTTGATGTCATCTCTCAAAAAAACAATCTCATAGAACTTATAGTGGTCCTCACATTTTGCATGGAAATGAGGGAACAAATAATGACGCCGTTGTTTTATGAACAGGTACTCCTGCTGTTACTAATATGTTGCAATCACATACAGCCATCAGACTACTGTGGATAGAGTGCGCATATATTAATGTTAATGATATGCTATCTCATCCTAACTGGATAGAACTAGTACAGCATTTATATGAAACTATTTTTATCCATCCATCACTTGAATGTATTGAGATTTACACTGGATTCACTCCCCCTCCTGTCCTGAACTTAAAGAATCTCCTGAGGGATACTCTTAAAGATCAAAAGAAGACATTGATTGATAGACACAGAAAGGAACAACCACACAAACCACTGCCAATAGTGAAGTTAAACTAATTATTTGATGCAATAAATATTAGTAAAAGTAGTTCAAAGTAATTAAGACACATGTACACAAGTCAATAATGATTTTGATTCAGAAATAACTTGAACAAAATTAATGAAGAATAGTGAAGATTCTAAAACATTAAAAATACTGTATGACATGGCCGAAGCCATTGGTAAGGCCAGTAAGTTTTTGGCCATACCATTTTTTCAGCTAGCCAAAAAAGTAATAGGTGTGGTCTGTCGTGATTAATTAACATTAATAAAAATTAGTGATTACATTAATAAATTTGGTATTTTAGTACAGTGAATGTGCCACTAATTTGCACTAAAGCCATAGACTGTAAACTGTAGTTAGATACAGCTGTAAATTTTGAACATTGTTTTTATGATTATGTTGCTTGCATTCTTTCTCTCATTCCTTATTATTTGCTATTGCCAATTTATTGTTTGTTAAATTCAGAATTTTGGCCGAACCACTTTTAATTTTGTGGCTCCGGCCATGCTGTATGATAGCTAGAAATTTCTGCAAATTTGAAAAAAAAAACCAGAAATTTGGTGCACAAATTAAAGACCTAATTAAATTAAAAGGCATGGTGAATTTGCTTAAATAAAACCCTCCTAAGCCACTTAAGTAATTCACAAGAATTCAGGGCTACAAAATTTTGTTAGCTATGTAGGTACCGTATAGCGGGAAATTTTCAAAGATAACAAATTTCGCGAATTTCCCAGATTTTTTCATGATTCGCGAAATTAAATTCCTTGAAAATCAATTTAATATGGTACAAGATGGCAGATTAGTGGAAATTCACAAAAATTAATTCCGCAAACTTCTGGATACGGGTCATTCGCGAAATTTATTATCCTCGAAAAAACCTGCTATACGGTACTTGAATACAAAACACACACAATGAAAGTAATAATAAGAACAATTACTATTATTTTTGTTATCATGGTTATTATTGTTATTCAATATTTATTCTCTTTCTCTCTCTCTCTCTACTGGCAAAATACTGTCAAAGATCAAAAGATAATTATTCTTAATTGCAGCATATGTGTGCCATTATAACTAAATGATGTAATCTGATTCATCTAGCTGCTATAGCTAGAGAATTATCGTCATAATTATTGTGATATTACTGATTTGATCTAAAAATAACAAGATAAACAAAGTTTGAATTAATAATGAAGAATCAGAAACAGTTAGATTGAGAATACACAAAATGTAATGCTAATGCTAATAATAATAATAATAATAATAATAATAATATTTGTTTCTTAATACATGTATAGTTTCTTTGATTTGTTTTTGCTTTGTTTAGTTTTCCCATAGGGCCTTCCCTCTCCTTTCCCTTCTTTGTTTTTCTCTGTTATTAGTTATGCTTTGTTTTTCATAATAATATCAATAATAATAATAACGAGTGTTTATTATTTTAGAAACAGAAAGTGCTTCTCTTTCTTTCTCCTCTCCCTCTCAGCTTTTCTACTTTTCTACATGTGTATAATTGCTGCCCTCTCCTCATATGACAAATTAGCATCAAGACTAGGCCTACTGAGTCTGTACTCTGTGGATACAAAAAGAGAAAAAGAGAATTAAAGTGTTAATAACATGTAATGGTAACAATACACGTGTTCATTTATAGTACAATTTCATGCTTCAGTTGTGATGTTACTATTTTCAGTGCTGTACAATACTTTAATTTGGGAACACTTAATTTTAATAATTTTCTATAATAAATAAATATGATGATTTTGCATGTGTGAATGGCAAGTATACCCTTTCTTATTACCTTAAGGTTACTTTTAAATGCGGGTACTATTAATTGCAAATTTTGCGTTTGGGTTAAAAATCGCAATTATTAATACTCGCAATTATTAATAATGACATCATGATGCCATATAACTATTAGTAATAATTACTTAATCGCAATTTTTAATACCAGCAAAATCTACCTTGTGCTAAAATCGCAAAATTTAGTACCCACAATTAAAAGTCACTCTAAGGTATGCAATTGTTACTATGGTCAAGTGTCGTGACTGAAAATGATAATTGTTTAATCTCTCTTTAATAGCTATAGGATGATGTAATACTGAATTAGAATGTAGCACAGATCCAGAGCTAAAGATGTCGGTGAATGGTCATTACATGTACTATGAGTATGTACATCACTGATTAGTGGTTTTAATAATTAGGAAAATAGCTTATCAAATAAAGGTAGATTTACAATATTATGCTAGCCCTGACATTACATTGACACTGGAGTTAAACTCGCTTTAATTTTAATGTAAAGCATTTGATGGGACATTGTATATATTGACCTAGTATAATAAACCAGTCTTGAAACACTGTCAAATTAAAGCTATACTGTATTATCAGACACTGTACCTATCTCTGGTGTTTATTTGTCCTCCCTCCATGATCCAGTAACTGAATGAGGTGTATATTTATCATCAGTCCTTACCATCAGTCTTCCATCATTATATCTACTAACTAACATTAACTGATTCATCTCTCCATGATCTTGATACGTCTCCTCCTAAACCTGGGCAAATTTGATGTCAAAAAAAACAATAATAATGGGTAATTTTGAATGAAAGAAAAATTACAACAATTAAACCCAACACTTTTATACCATTATAATGCACGATTAATTATGATTAATGTCTCAAGGCCACAAATCAAACCAAAATTTTAACAATTATTTGCAAAATTTATCCCCTCCAAAATTAATGGCTATACAGTGAATAAAAAAAAATTCAACAAAAAGATACAGTCATACTTTATAAATATACAGTGATAACTTATTAATTACTAAATACACAAGCATCTTACCTCTTACTCCTCCATCACTCATCACTCATTAGTGTCACTACAGTCCAGTAGTTTAGACATTAAAGTACTCAAATCATTAAAAGTACTTGAAGGCTCATCCTCCATACCAAACATATGGACTACACGAGACTGGAGGGAGGGGAAAGAGGCATGGTCAAACACACCCACTAATTCATACATACTCACTTTAATTAATCCTATTATTAGTTTATCAATTGTTCTTTGTCTCATCTTGTTAGTTCCTCCACCATAATTATTACCAGTAACAGAGCAACCAATAGTTCGAGCTGATTCAACTACTAGTAACAATTTCTCTTCAAGTGCTTCTGTCTTTTTTGCAGTGCTGGTGGGGTCTTCATAAGTGCCTCCTGATTTGTTTATTAAATAATTACTAAAATAATAAATTAAATATGTAAAATGTCTTAGATTCTGATTAAACTTTTTTGAATTATAATTTTTAGGAAAATTCCAAAAGTTTAAAAAATACCCAAGGCCCCTGTCTTTTTTCGAAAAATGGATCCCAAATCAACCAATATTTTTAATACATTTTTTGATATCCTAATGCTATGTACATGTACATGCATGTAGAAAGTTTCTGCTGAGTCCAACTTCCTTTTTGAGTTATGACAACTTTAATAAAATCCCAAAATTCTAAAAAAATATCCAAGGCTGTTGTAGCTGTAGCCGATAGTTTAAATACATGTAGCTCTAAAATTACCCATTACATTTTAAAATACATATTTATGTCCTTATGTTGTGCACAAAGTTTGAGCTGATTTCGACTTCAATTTGTCAAGTTACAACAAGTCTCAATGTTCTGAAAAATATCCAAGGCTATTATAGCCAGGTTTTCTGAAAAAAGGCTCCAGAATCCCCAAACTTTTAATACATACATTGATGTCCTTATGTTACATGTGTATGTAGAAAGTTAGGGCTGATTTTGACTTCAATTTTTCAAGTTACAACTACTTTAGCAAAATCATAAAATTCTGGAAAACACCCAAGGCTACAGCCCATGGTTTTTGCCAAAAGATGGCTTCAAGATCACCCAAAAATTTCATTACATTTCCTGATACATGACTCCAAAATCACCCCTAATTTCTATTAAATTTTCTGATACAGATTGATGTTCTTCTTATGTTGTGTAGAAATTTTGAGCTGATTCCAACTTCATTTTTAAAGTTATGGCAATTTTTAAGAAAATCCCAAAATTCTGAAAAACACCACAAAGCTATAGTCCATCATTTTTTTCTGAATAATCACCCCTAATTCTTATTACATTTTCTGATACCGGCATCATGCTGGGTAGAAAGTTGGTTGATTCTAACTAAAATCTTTCAAGTTATGGCAATTTTTATAACTTTTCCTACAATTACAAGTAGTACACCGCCCGGTATGAAAAGTGACTTTATGTAGATCTAATTATTATCATTTCAAAATGAAGGACAAACTAGATACTACAATCATTAACTTACTGTTGTTGATTCCTTAGATCTAGGTATGATACTCTAGCCTCAGGCTTGAGCAAGGTCTGGAGTCATTTAAAGCTTGAATCTGTGAAGTTGACAAGTTGTATGACGTATCTACTTGGTTTTTGGTCTGTCAGATTCGGTGTTGAACTCCAGTCTCTTGACTCAGCTTAGATCAGACTCACTACACGTGAGTGGGAGTGACGCCCATCCCTGGCCATGAGTGACGACGTTTTTGCTTGAGCTGAACTAGATGAAGCTGCTTCCATATTTTAGCTCGTATTTCTGCTAAAAGTTGATTTTGTATAAAAGAAACAGTGCATAGTAGAAGTCAGTATTATGATGAGTTGTCCTGAAGAAGCTGTTTGTCCTTTTGGAGCTAGATCAAAGAGTCATGAAGAGGTATATCTAAGAGTGTATTATACTGGTGCCAATTTTTGATTTGTATTTTCTCACAGTGTGATTCACTTCAAAGCTATACATTGGCGCAATTGTGTTTTAAAGAAAAGCACTATAGTTCAGCAATAGGGTAAGTAGAAGTAGGTATGATCTTGTATAATCTGATTGCGGGACATTTTTCGCCTCACAGTTTCCCATTATGTATACCTACCCACATTGTGCATGTAGTGTCACTATTAATTATTGTGCTCTTACATTGATTATACACTCAGTTATAATACATGTAATAATGAATAGAAATAAGCAAATATACAATGTACCCACCTGCTCAAATCACATGTTTCAGATACAAGCCTATGAAAATATTAAATTATCCCAACCATTAATTCTAAGAGAGGGCACCCTAATAAAGATCTACAAGAGGGTGTCAATGATTTCCATCTGGCTTGCATATGTATAATTATTAGTTGTTCCTAATTTTGATTAATATGTTTCTGCTCACATTTTAACTTGTGAGATGTTTATTAAATCTGCAGTGATTGTATCCTATTTGGCACTATTGTGTACCATTTAGCACTTTTGTTGTGTCTCATTAATTGATATTAATATTAACAAGAGTACAGTGTAAAAATATTCCTATAATTGATTTCACCACTTTGCATGCTGAAAATTGCTACAATATTCTTTTAGGTATGCTATTATGATTGTTGTTTTTTGCCAAATCAAAATTGTTTGTAACTTCCCTGGTTCACCATGAATTATTAATAACTATTTTGATCATCTGCTTTAAGTGCTTTAATTGATAATACTGCTTAACTAAAAAGCATTTTACTGGCTAATTTTTGCTTTCTTTTTGTCATTCTTTCCATTGACAAAAAGCACATCACATAAAATGCATTGAAGTGCATTATTTTTGAATTGCCAATAAAACACCAGATACATACCTGTATATATGCAGAAAAATTATTAAAGGGTTTACGTGTAGTTTAAAATTTTGTTTGCTTGATTTGTCACATGTACATGTACTTGTATGGCTATAGGTATGAGTCATAATGTATCTTTCATCATTAATTTCACTCTCTGCAATTAAATTTAAATCATGTTTTATTGTTTTATTTAAGTTTTTACTGTGTATTGTACATAATTGTAGGCACTTAAGTCAGTATTTGTCCATGAAACCTGATGACTATAAAGCTCACAAGCTATTAGGAGATATTAATAAATGTGAGGATGATACAGATGGTGCATTGATAGCTTATAAAAGGCATGTGACATTATTGTAATGTGATATGGCTTTGTTATTTCATTTTAATGATTTTAGGTCATTGTATTTCAAAAAGGACCAGCCTGACGTTCTAATATCAAGTTAGTTATACCTTGTAGCTATTAAGTGAATGATGAAGGTGAGTTTTTTATTTCATTTTTAGTTTGTGAATTGTATTGTGAAAGAGATTATGTTCCAGAAAATGATCTAAAAGTAATGCATCTAACTAATATTGACTGCAATTAAATTAATTATTGTGGCCAGCCATAGCAACATGTGCAAAAGGTGGATGAGGCGCATGTAAATCAAATGACAATGTCTCATACTAGAGAATTGAGAAAGGGATTAAGCAAGTAGGCCAGAGACATTATTTGCTTAAAAGGTCTCTCAAGAGCATAATGAAATATTGCACTTGCAAATGTACATATAGATGCTACAAGCCTTATTGTATTCTATTGGAGATTGGAAAAGAGAGAGAGGCATGCATGTAATTGTACATGTACACTGACATGTACAATTGTACATGTACTTTAAGGAATTAAACAATGATAAGTAGCTGCTCCAACCACTCCTTTAAAAATTATTTTTGTAGGGATGGATTGAGATATTGACTAGTTGTCATCCCAATCATCCTGTCATAGCTAAATTAAAAGTCAGTACATTATGTCATAATTTTTTTGTTTTTGTTGGTCTATATGTACATACACATTTACTTGTAGGTAAAGTTGGTTGTTGCCAGAGTCAAATTGATATCTGAAATTATTGTAAGTATTTTGTTGCATTTGACAAACCAATTCTGATTTCTGTTTGTAGGAAAGAATGAAGAAAGGCTCTGAGGATCAATTACTTATTATGAAATTATTACACAGACTGCTAGACCAAGGTACTATGTGTACATGTACATCTTAAATACATGTATTAATTTTGTATTAAGCATCACTTGTGTATTTCTTTGTTTGTTTCTTTTATCATTCTCTTTATTCTTTGTCTAATTTCTCTTATTTTCTCTTGTCTACCTTTATTCTCTTGATTCTTTTCTTTGATCTATAGCCTCTCATTTCTCCTTATCTCCTTCACTCTCTCTCTCCATTACTGACTGCATTGAAGAGTCATATTCATTCTTCAAAAGATTCCGTTTTCTGTGTCATTATAAAACTTACAGAAATAATGTGGAACTACTGAGATTGCTTATACACTATCTTGAGGTACATGTGCATGTAAACATACATGTACATGTATATACTGTACATGCATGCTCATTGTTACTTATGTCAATTTACTTTATAGAAACTGTTAGCAATGATCTCAAGTGATGCTGCTGAAGAAGGTACAGTTTTCTTATTCTTATTTAAAGTGAAAATTAGGCTGTTTCATAATTTTGTAACCTTTTCATTGATTTTTTGGTGTAGGTTTCCTGATGATAGAAGTTTCTGTTTCATTACTGGAGATTTTAATTGAATCCTTTAACGTTGAAATGGCAAATGAAGTGAAGCAGAGAACTACCAGTCAAAGATTAGAGCTGTATTTAATAAAGTACTCTTCTTTCTATTTTGTTCTCTGCTGTATACTATATTCTGCATGTTTTCTGATGCATGTACAGTAGATCTATACTTACATGTATATGTGTGCATCTTGTTTTCTTCTCTGTCTCTCAGATATGATTGCATTCTATATAATCTGACAAAAATGGTTAACATTCATAAGTTGTTATCAAGAGAAATTCTGGTAGAATTGAAGTCAAACTGTTACTTTCTATTTTCGCAGTTCTTCTTTACATTTTGTCTAAATAAAGTGAGTTTTACCATCAAGTGATTGAGTTTAAGAGTAGTATAATGTGCCTAGCTTCTTTCAGAATAATATCATAAAGTGGAATATTTTAAGGTGACTTTATTTTAAGGATACAAAAAAATAGTAAAATTAAAATAAGTTAGTTTTTTGTTACCGTGTGCGTCTTAATTTTCGAAGTGTATTAAATTTCGTTATTTTTATGCTCACCTTAAATCCACGAAATTTGAACCACCTCTAATGCCATTCTATTGTATGTAGACTATGGCCAGAACACAAAAATTAGCTCACACGAATATTAACTTTTGAGCACATTACATTGAAAACACAAAATTTTGAACACTCAAAAATTGGAACGTAAACGGTAGCTAAAAATAAAGTTAGGATTGAGTTTATAAAATTATAAAATTAAAACTTCATAAAATTAAAAACACATGAATTAAAAATTAAATAATGAAGGCAGTAAAATAATTCACTTCTACGGTAATAGAATGTCACTTTAGTTGATATTGCCTTGCATTATGTAAGCATTGATCATATTAACACGTTATAGTGTCACATACATGTACATGTGTATTATTAGTATACTGTATAGCCACAAAGTTTTGAGGCAATAAACATTCGTGAATCAGGCCACAAGTATTTTTTGCGAATCAACTTTTGTGGTTTTATTTTAAAGTACACGTGTTTATAAGGTGATACGAATAATTTTACAGAATTAACTTTTGCGGATATGGAAAATCTGCAAAAACAGCGAAAATTATACCCTCAAAAATTAAGCGGCTATACAGTAACTCACAATTGCTTCGTTTCTTGTATTATGACTAACTATTTTAATCTGTATGCAATGTAGTTTGATTTGGGCATGACTTGTCTCTTTGCATCGCTCAATACTCAGCCTCTAACTATTTTAATCTGTATGCAATGTAGTTTGATTTGGGCATGACTTGTCTCTTTGCATCGCTCAATACTCAGCCTCTTGATATGAAATTATTTAAAGAGCTTCCTAAATCCCAGTATGCTAAGATGGATAGGTGGTATCATAAAGGAGCAGCAAGATTATCAACTTCAGGTGGGCTATAATTTATAAAATTTCAGTACTTGTTTGATGTTAATTAAGCTCTTATGTTACAAGTATGACTGTGTCAAATTTAACACTTTTGTATTGACATATATATGTACATTTTGTTGGAGTTTAAGTTTGTTTTTTCTCATTCCTTGTGGAGTGAATATGTGTACAAAATGGCTACTTAGAATGAAAATAAAATAAACAAAAAATCCAATCCTGCTTAAAACCGTGTTTTTCCAGATGAAATTTACCTGCTATACAGTATTTTATTACTATTAAGTATGCTTTTTGTGTAGCTCACTTAGCATGTTTTGTAATAATAACAATATTAATAATGAATAATTAATTAAATAATTTAATTAATTTTTTGATATTATATGGTGTACATGTAGCTCTGCATGAAATTGTAGCATCTGCAAAAATTTGCCAATTATTGGTATGTTTTGTTTTCTTTTCTTTATTTAGTTCGACAGTTACAACTATTATTAAAAAAGAAGAATAAGAATGTCATTATAAGTTGTGTTAAGAAATCAACAGATGAACTGGCAATTGCTCTACATAAGGTATCAATCACATGTCTATTGTAATTATGTACATTTATACTGTATATCACTCTCTCCTGTAGTTGTCTCCAAGCTTTGATAGCAGGAGCTCATTTCTGGCACTTGATGACACACTGATGTCATTGAATCCAAAGCTATTAACACGCAAATATGAGACAATTATTGCTTTAGTTGCAGTTTGTGATTATAGTAATTAAGAGAGAGGGAGAAAAGAAAAGTTGAAACAGCTACATGTAGTGTGTTAAGCCTGGTTAGAAATAATATGAGAAGAGTATTTATTCATGTACATGTACATGTGTGGAGAGATGAAAAGAACTGTATAATGAATGTACATGTACATGTATATTTGAGTAATTATTATTTCTTTTTCTAGCTTACATTAATGAGTATAGTGAAGCTTTTTCAGCTCTTGTTTGGTTGTCATTAGTCTATAAATCACAACTTATCATGGTACCTCCTTGTAAGTACATGACCACAACAGAACCCTCTCTTTATCAATTATTTCCCTCTTATCTTTTCTCCTCTTTCTCATTTGCCATTTTATATTAGTTGATTGGCTGGCTGGTTTATTCCCAGAGTTAAATGTGTCCACGTTTAGTTTGCTTACAAGCGACTCCTCTTCACTTTGTCGTTATGATATAGAAGTGGGTGTTGCATTATAATTAAACTGGCATTTTCTTTTATTTTAAGGCCTTTTTAATACTATCAGTGAGTTTGTTTACCCGAGACCTCAAAACTAATGATTTGTGCTCTTTATTGGTTGATAAATGGTTGTCTTGGCCGCTGATAATATTACCTGATCATTATAATACTTTATATGATAATATGAGGAGACTACACCACAACAACATGAGGTATAAAAAAGATATAGAGTCTGTTGTGATATACATACATTTGATGCATCACTCTATGTACAATCGATTATTGTTATAATGACTAACCGAAAAAAAATTAATCATTCCAAGTTCAGGCAAAATCCTACACTAATTTTTTTATTATTCACGAGCCATTTTTTGAGTCTGTCATAGCCGGAGCTAATAATAGTAATAACAATAAATGGGTAAATGATTAAGCAAAAGAGTCAATAAAATATTTAATACACGAAAGAGACCGAGACAATTTTACAGATGGTGGTAGAGAGTTTCATTGTTTGATGGTTGTTGGGTAAAATGAGTGAAGGAGGGACAAGGATTTACAGTAAATTTGTTGAAAATTATCGTGAAAATTCTTAGAACAAAGGTGGTAGGGAGATGAGGGGATAGATTCAGTGGGTCAGATGAAGAAAACAAGAGAAATTCTTTAATGTTAAATAAAGTGATCAGTTTAGCCTTTCAGTGACGATGTGCAAGGGAAGATAAATTAAATGCCGATAAAAGATCAAAGTATGATGTGGACCACGACTTTGATACCATTTTTAAAGCAAAATGCTGAATACCTTCAATTGAAGAGGAGACTGATGTGGAAACTGGGTCCCAAACTACGGAGGCATATTCTAGGATTGGTCTAACAAGAGTTGTATAAAGATGGAGTAGTGTGGAGGGTGAAGAATTACTATAGAAGTGGCGATAAATGAGACCCACAACCTTCCGAGCCTTCCTCTTCAATGAGGAGACATGAATGTTCCAAGAAAGGTTGCAGTTGAAATGTAACCCCAGGTATTTAAACTGAAAAACTCTTTCAATTGAAGATAGAGTGGTGACAAGCGATTAAAGTATGATTGAGATTTATGAGAGAAAATCATGTACTTTGTTTTGGAACAATTGAAAGACAAATGATTTGACTTTGCCCAATTATGTAGAGAGTTAATATCAGCCTGAAGATCTTTCTATTCATCCGTAGAGACTGCAGGATGGAGGAGAAGAATGTCATCTGCAAATATAAACAGCTTAGTATAGAAGAGGAGAGAGAGGAATGAGAAATGTCATTAATAAAAATAAGGAACAAAATGGGAACTTTGAGGAACTCCAAAAAGGACTGGCTGAGGAAGTGAGTGAGAGCAACCAATGCAAACAGACTGAGTTCGCCCAGTAAGGTATGAATGGAACCAGTTCAGAAGATGTGGGGGAATAGTTACCTTAGAAGGTTTCTCCAAGAGCAGTGAATGGCTAACTGAATCAAATGCTTTCCTGATATCCAAAAATTGGCCACATACTGCTGCTGATTGATCAAGGTGAGAGAGGATATGGTGCATTACTGAAATCAAAGCTGAAGTAGTAGACCGCTGTGGTACAAATCCAAATAAATTGCAAGTCAGATAAAAATTTGTTAGGTGGTAAATGATTCAGAAGAAGAGAAAGAACATGCTTTTCTAGGATTTTGGAAATGATTGATAAAAGGGAAATAGGTCTGTAATCCAAAAGAGATGAAGAAGGGGGCTTGGTTTTAGGGATAGGAACAACAGAAGAAAGCTTCCATTGCTCTGGGAACACACCAGTGGATTTTTCTTTGTGTGCACTATAAAAAATTATGAGTTACAAACTTACAATGTACATTGTACATGTTTACTTGAACATTCTAAACCATCAATCTTGCCAGATGTACATGTACATACATGTATATACTTTTTGAGTACTGTTGATCCTATGATATACAATGTACTTCATGTTGGTTATGTATTCCTGTGTTTTATTTTACCTCATACTTGAACATGTACATTTTAATGTATAGTTTTAGCACCTTTTGGTATTTACAACAATTATTATGTATCATAACTTAATTCATGCTATAGTAAATCCCTCTCTTGAGAAACTGCACCCTGACGAGAAATCCCTCATTTTTAAGACGACTTAGCCAAAGTTTTACTTTACATTATAATGAAAAGCCACCCCTTTTGTAAGACTACCGTATAGCGGGATATTTTTGTGGGGTCTTATTTTCGTGTCCATGACACTTTCACGAAAATTTAACACACGAAAATTTAGCACATATTTGGTATAGGCGTGTCCTGTACTCCATGTGCATGCAATGAAATGGAGAAATACTTCAAGCTGCTTCCAAAAAAACTTTTGATGAAAGTACACTTGGCGTACCTTCAAAAACGATTAAAGCTGTCGAGAGAGAGGTAGAAAAAGCTCACCAGGCTAAAGCCAAAGGCTCTTATAATACAGTTATCATGAAAATTTAACCCACGAAAATCTCAACCACCCCAAATCACGAAAATTTGACCCCACGAAAATATCCTGCTATACGGTATTAATTCCTGGATTGGCCTAGATCTGAAATGGGAACTATTATACTGTATTACATGTAGTTTTACTATAAAAGTCATCTGAATTTTGATTCATCAATCAGTTCACTTGTTATGTATGATTTTACTGTAGTTCTAAGCACTAAGAGATACCATCAGTCACATGCACAACCTTATGGAAAAATAAAAATTAACATGTATAACCTTAACATGTACAGTACATATCAGACTTGGGTCAAATACAACGCGGAAGTATTTAAATACAAATACAAATACTGTACAAAAACAAAAATACAAATACAAATACAAATACAAATACTGTTTTCAGCTTTGTATTTAAATACAATTACAAATGCTGCATACATGTATTTCAATTACAAATACAAATACTTTCTTCTCAAGTATAGACAGTTATTAACTACGTAGTTTTATGAATTAATCAATCAAGTAAATTGAAAGCCTCTTTTTATTATGCATGCATGTATAATCAATAATATTTAGTTATAGTCATGTATTGCATTTAATGGACGTTAGTGTTTCAAAGTTTTGTGACTCAAACAGCATCTTCATTCACATTGAAGTATTTTAAAGTATTTTGCTGTATTTTGAAATACTTCCCTGCTGTATTTCAATTGCAAATACAAATACTTCCTGTTACAAAAACTCAAATTACAAATACAAATACAAATACTTTCAAAAGTATTTAAATATGACTAATTACAAATACTATTTGTATTTGACCCAAGCCTGGTACATATATCACATTAGCATGCATTAATTAGCAACAAGGTTTCTCAATGACTTATGTTACATTTTAGGATTACTTTATAACTCTTTCCACATTAGCCATGCAGTCAATGCAGCATTGGCACCTGAATGCAGTTTGATGTTGAATGTTACAGTACATGCATGCAGTTTACATGTACATGTAATGCTAACAATGCATGTATTTAACCTATCATTGTAGTCTTCTGTATCTATGTACTTTTAAATTCTTTTCCCGAATCTCACTTTTTTCCCTCAATAGTATTAGTGAGCAGTTACTTATTCAAAAGAGTATCAGTTCATTCCTTGCAGAGTTTCATTGTTGTCGACCATACGTTCCTCATGTTAATCAAGTACTGACCATAGCAAGACACTTTAAAGATAAAGTATTGTTGCCGCGCTTTCTTTCACTTTCCATTTCTCACTTTCTCTCTTAGGCTGACTTATTAACTAGCACTGACAATGAAAGTGAATCTATAGATGTTAGTTAATATAATTTTATTTTTGATAATTGTAAATAATGTATGCATGTAGGAGCTCATTGAATGGAGCCTCCACTATTGGTCAGTCCTGTTAAATAGGTACATGCCTACGGAAACACAAACTGGACATGCTCCAGAGACACAAGGAGCACCTCAAAATGGTATATGATTATACTCTTTCCTTTTCCAAATGAGAAGATTCACCATTTTAACAATAATCATGGAAAGCTAAAATAGTGTATTTATAGTGGCTATAAAAAAGGAAGGAGAGGAATGAGAAAGATTAAACAATTGTTGCTATCATAGTGATGATTATTTGTTTTTCTGTTTACTTTATGTCTAGTTATGAGTGCTGAGGAAAAAGATGAGTGTCATTTGTCAATGGGTGAATGTTTTGTGCATAAAAATTACTTTCCATTAGCTTTATCGTTTCTTGAACTGGTTCCAACTGCACAATCAGGTCATCTAATATATCAGGTCAGAATCAATGATGCATGTAATACTGATCTGCTTTATACCAATCTCCTCATTTAGATACGTAAAATATTAGCTGAACCTGATTAAAATGATAAGGTAATCTAGCTACATGCATATTACATATGGATTTTGTATGTATTAGGCACCATCATTAGTGTACACTTATACATTATTCATGTACATGTATGTACGCACATATGTACACATATGCTACCATGATATTTTGTCAGTGTTTTCTGGTGAGTAGGTACATGTATGTGACCCATTTTATTCTGTACATTTTTAATTTTAATTTTTAAAGGATATTAGTTGAATAATATAACTGGCAGTCAAATTTGCATTTTTATAAAGTTGCCAAAAAATCAGGCCAATTGGCAAAATTTGTCAAAAATGGCTAGGGAAGAATTCTTCATTTTTATAATTTTCTTCTGATACATGTCCTTATGTTGTTTATCAACTTCGAGCTGATTCCCCAATTTGCATTTTTTTACAAAGTCCTAAAGTTGTTAAAATACCAGGCCAATTACTGTACCAAAGGCGGTCATTTGCAAAAATTTGTCTTCAAAAATAGCTAAGTCCATTTTTATAGTTTTATTGATGTGCATGACTTGTACATGTCTTTATGTTGTTATCAACTTTGTTGATTAATTTCTGATTTTTGAATTTTCAAAGTTGCCCCAACTGTATTGTAGTGTTTGTCAGCTCACGAAGCATGTTTTGTAGGAAATCCTGAAATTTACTTGTATAATTCTTTCCTACCACGTGTTTATCTCTCTTTTTTGCTGCAGGTGTTTCTTTTGCCATTCCTATATACTTCTACTGTAACTTATATTCATTATTCATTATAAACAGATCTACATGTACATGACAACTTTTCTCTGCTCTCTCTGATGGTCACTGTGTCTTTAATTCTTAATTGTTTATTCTAGTCATTGCACTATGACTATTTAGTATCAAAGTGAATATTAATTAAAAATTGAAATGTATTCAAAAGATCTTGCAAAAATGATTTGTAACTATTGGTTGGGTACACTGGCAACTTGGGGCCATACTAAGTTAGCCATGTATTATGCATGCAACTTTCAAGTTATATATGAACTACACTGTATGATCATAGTGAACAAAGTACCAAGTTACATACTCGGTTAATTAAATTACAGCTTATCCACTCTTGTATGTAGATCTACTTGGCTATGCATCCAGTTGCACTGGTATGAATGCCGTATCATACAGGAGATTTCATATTCCTTCCTTGCAACAAAATTTTTATATAGGACGATAGGATCAGTTTATTTTGTTACATAGCTAATTTATTATTGAAGATTCTGAAGAACTGTTAATCTTAGATCAGTCCCTGGTCCTATTGAGACTAACTCATTGTATATGGTCACATAATGCAAACCATAAAACATCTATGCTTGGCTTTTGAATCTGGTATTGAGGCATGTCTCAAGGAAAGCAAGGAACAATTAATTAAACTATAATATATCATTTAATGTGCTTTAGTTTGCATGATTAACTGAGCTAAATGTCACAATAATTTAAACAAAAAATAACTAAAGATAACATAACACTCAAAATAAGCTAGAGACATATATAAATGATAAATTATTATCCTAAAGTCTCAAAACTGATCATAGACTATCTAAAATACTTTTTGCATCCATGCTCATAATAAAATTAATTATTGTCAGCAGATTCTAGCAATGGCTCACGACATTCTGGTCTAATTAGTGCAGGAAATTCAGAGGCTGTTGGAGCTGTGTTAAGGTGAGAATATTTGTCAGATGCAACTTCTTCTACTTGAATAGTGTGGCTTCCCTTTCTACCAATAGCTCTGCAGTTAAAACAAATGTAGACATGATAGGCCAGTATACCTAGAAAACCAATAAAAGCAATGGAAAATATTGCACCAATTCCAATCCTTGCTTTATTCCTATTTGTAAAGGAGGGCAATCTATTACTCTCTCCACCATTTTGAATTAATGCTCCAAAAAGACAAAAGAAAATGGCCAAAAGACATAAAAGATATAATATATCAAGGGAATGAAGCTTCTTATTCTTGTATACTGATCCAAAACTTAGTGTTACTATGAGAAGGGCTGTTATGGTAACAAGCAGTCCAATGGGTTCATCATATGTAGGGGACACTACAATAAGTACAGCTAGCACTATCCTTGCAACCAATAGGAGACCAGGCCAGATACGAAACATGTCAGTATATGGACCAGCATAAGCATCAAAGAATGGCTTTAATTTAAGATAAAAGCTAGTGCCAAAATTCCACTTTGAGCGACATATTTCCCATAATGGAAAAAGTAACAGAAACAGTGTATATGGGAGAAATAGTAACAGTGCTGCTATAGCAATGATGAAGAGAACCAAGTGGCAACCAGTGAAATACGGCTCACCACTGTTATACCATACAAAACCAGTACAGGTAGACGATGGATTAGCCACAATAAAAATAGAAATGATTGTACGAAGAAGTTTAGTGTAAGAAAGAAGCAAAAGAGTACACAAAACAGGGACCGAATTTTTACCAATTAGCTGGGAAAGTTTTGAAAATCGTCTACTCAGAAATATAATGAGAAGAATTAGAAACCAGAGATAGAATGGAAACACAAACTGGAGGGCTGTCTTGGTACATGTAGTCATACCAGCAAAGAAACAAGTCTTGATACCTAAATCCAAATTAATCCAGGAAATGAACTGACTTAATACTGGGACACTATCAGTGCCATAGAATAAAGGTTGGTTTATCTTAATCACATTTGCAAAGAACAATAGTCCATTAATAGTACCAACGGTGACGGTCAAATTGAGAACAAGTAATAGAATAACTAAAACGACACCAGCCAACGAAAATGGAATAATAAGAGAGAGATAATCATTAGTGCATTCACCACAATTGTTGGAACCGAGCATGAGACTAAGACCTTCAGAGCATCTTCCACACAATAGACCTGATCTATTTAGAGCACATTGTCTATCAGACTCATTCAATGGGAAAGTAACTTGTGACTGAATGCAGTAATCATATGGGCAGAACTGGTACACTATATTTGTGCAGTTATTATAGTTTGGGCCAATCCAGCTATTTCCTTCCTTTATCACAACAGCACCTGTACCGTTACAACTGATGGTAGCATTTTTGATAGAGTTATCACATTCACATACATGTGACTGTTGTGATAGGTAAGTGCCAGGTAAGCATGGTAGAACATTGACATCAATAATAAGTGGTGGTTGAAAGAAATTGGTCTCAAAATGAATCGAAATACTCACTTTAATCCTATTTGTTTCATTATTATTGGCTGTAACCTCATGAGTCAGGTTTGCACATACTGCACTGGAAACATTTTGATTTGAGAGTTCTCCGCTATCACTTGAAATGATAATAATACCAGTAGTAGTATTATAATCTTGCCCTACTACAGCTACAGCAAACTCGATGATCTCACCTGGTATAGCTGACATTGATATAGACTTTAGACTACAATCAGGAAGGTTATTGGTACAAAAACACATTCCACGTGGACCGGATGATATTACAGAAAGTCCAGGCTGATTATAAAATTTACTTATGCGATTGAACTGATCAGGTAATACTTTTTCTGGTCCTTGTAAGCATTGTCTAGTTGTTCCTCCATACAAAACTGAACCAGCAACACTAGCAGTATTGTCCTCAAAATGAAAATACGTATTTACTTGATCAACATAATTATCTGGTAGTTGGAAAAAGCATCGATTGGAAACTTGCCCTGAATTAGAATTCAAATCAACAGTTAAAACAATCTGCTCTACATTAATAGCTCCTCCACTATTATTAGCATGATTCCCAACAAATTTTAATAATGAACCTAGGGATAGAAATAGGACAGATGAGGAAATCATGTAAATACCACCTCCATTATAAGCAGTGTTATTAATGAAGTAGACATCTCCATTGAATGTGACATAAGTATTTATCAAACCAAGACCACTTCCTTTATTGCTACTAAAAGTACAGTTATTGATGGACACACTATTAACATTAGAAATTTTAACAGTCATGGCAAATGCAGGTGAGATTGTAGCATTTTTAGCATATAAGTTATAGATGGTGTTATTATCAAAAGTAACTTTGTGTAGGATTACATCAATTCCACTCTGGGTATTTACAAATTGATCTGTAGTTATTTCCAAAGCACTGCCCAGTATCCCAGCATTGTGACTGAAATTTGAGGACTTCAGACAAAATGAACAAGAGCCAGAACCATGCCAGACTACTTTCATGCCATAAAATTTATTATAAGTAATGGAACAGTTTGTCATCAGAATATTTGGTTTCCTTTTACTCAACACTTGTTCCTTTTTATGTAATATAAATCCTACTAGACTGCCAGTAGACACAAGACCATTGACGTTCAAATCAAAATAATCACTGTAGGGGAAAATTCCAAAGTTTATAACTGAATTATTGGCAGCATAAACCATCTCCAGTTGAATACCAATAAAGTATTCACTCTGACGATTAACTATAGAAAGACCATTGAATCTATTATTAGTAATGTTTGATTTGCTCATGACAAAGCTCCAATTTGAAGTGTAAAGAGGGCTTAGTGGATTAATGTATAAAGCAGTAATAGTCATTGTCCTGTTGTCTGGAGTATCGTGATTATTAGAATAAAAAGAAGAATTATAAATTTGACAGTGAACGACAAGATTGAGTGTTAACCCTCCCAAAGGACTTTCCTGTATCGAAACATATGTCATAGTGACATTATATGAATCTGATATAGTAATTGCACTAGACAGATCAATTGTAGCATATTTATCCCCACAATTTTTCAAGGTTACTTTCGAAAGTTGTATGTGATTGCAACGTACAAACAAAGTAACATTTTCAGTACATTGTATGATTGCTGGTGACTCCATTGCGGTTTGGTGTGGTCCTTGTCCCATCTCCCTCAGCCCTTCAAAAGTTATATCAATAGACGGTTGAATGATGATAATAGAGCTGTTTAATGAGTGTATGCCAGGTATGAAATGAAATACTGAATTGTTGGACAAGTTCTCAAAGGCTCCAGAGGACACATAATCTTCGAGAGTGGAGCAATTATTATTACCACTCGGACATTTTGAGGGTTCTCCATTAGGATAAACGTAGAAGACTTTTTGATCAACATCGGCATAGAAGAAGTGGCACTGAATAATAACGATGAACGGCAGAAGCAGCCCTATCTCGAGGCACCTCATTTTCACCTAGTGAATAGATCTGATTACTCACACCAGGAAGACGTGGGCGTTGATATCATTATTAGATCTATGAATCCAATCATTATTATATCTACTCATTGATAGTCCATTCATAGTCACATGAATGATGAGGTGATTTCATATTTTGGGTGTAGACTAATTTTTTATAGAAGATACAATAAAACAAAAATGAGTCTTACAGCTCTTTTAATTGCTACTATCCTTTCATTTGGAGGAGCTGGTGGAGTGACAGCATTAAATGCTGTCACTCCACCAGATACATCACTGGATACCATTCCTGTAGCATACTTTGGAGGAGTTAATTGCAAGGAGAGGTCACAGGAGAATATCGAAATGCTGGCAAAGATGCGTATCATAGTCATCGAAAAATGGGAGGGACCTTGTTGGTACGAATGCTATGCTAACCTAACAATGAATCCTCCTGTTCCATGTCAACCATCATGTGGTGCTGAGAACTATCAAATGAAAACAATCAAACGTGCTAAAGCAGTCAATCCCAAACTAGCTGCAGTATTTTACCTAAATACACTGTATGACTTTCCATTTCTTGAGCTTCACGGAAAATTTTTGGAAGCTAATGCTGATATAATAGATGTGAATGGAAAGCTTGTTGCCTTCAAAAATGATAACGGTATGCCAGGTGTCAATGTGTTTGATTTGGGTCAGAAGGTTGGACGAGATCTATGGATTGGATTCATCAATAAACTGGCTGAATCGGGAGTTGTCGATGGACTGTTTGATGATAAATCTAGTATATTTGCTTTGTGGAATGAAACTGGTTCATTTTGGCAGATTTGTGAATGGGGTACAGGAAGAGATACATGGGACAGATCATGTGGAATAATTTCAAACAAGACAGCACTAGACTATAACAATGGTAAACCAATGGTTTTAGATGAGCTTCACAAAACATTTGGACCCAATGGAGTAGTCTTTTTTAACACGACAAAAATGATGCACATGGACATTACAAAATCTCCCTTAAATTTTGCAAAAGAAATTGAGACAGCACTCAGCAGTTATAAATATGCCTATGTCCAAACAAATGATCTCATTGATGGGGACTGTACCAGCACCAAATCATCATGTTCAGAAGATGAAATTGCCATGTTTCTGTTAGGAGTTGAAGAGGGAGCCTTCCTTGGTTGCAATGGATGGGATGAAAACTTTAGCAAGTCACTTGGCTCTCCAGTTGGTCCAGCAGTAAAAAAGAATGACACTGTAGAGAGACATTTTAAATCAGGGACATATGTAACATGGGATCTTTCCAACAACAAAGGAAAAGTTGTCTGGAGTAACTAGACTCTGATAATAAACATGCTGAATGCCACATAATCCTTGCTACTCTAGCTATGTTAGTGCCAACAGACGACTACCAGTATATGGTTTTACATTATTGTCTGTCTAGCTGTATAATAAAAATGCTATAAAAATTTTAATTATATATAGATCTACACAAAAATAAGGAATATAGAGATTCCTAAAGACTCTGCAGTGAATGCATCATTGATAATAAATTAATAATTGCTGAAAAGAGTGTATATATACAATTGAATAGTGTACATTGCTATTGCCTGTGCTATTGGAACAACTTAATGCTGAGTATTATCACTCCATGACTGAGATACATCACCATACTTTTATAGCATACATGTACTTTGGAGGAGTACCGGTATATTGCAAAAGTCACAGGAGAATATTGGTATGATAGCAAAGATATATACCGTATCATAGCCATTGAAAAATGGGAGGGACTTTGTTGATATGAATGCTATGCTGCATGACTTTCCACTTTTAGAGCTTCTTAGAAGCTATAATGCAGATGTGAATGGGAAGTTTGCTTGTTAAAATCAAAAATGATTTTGGTATTCCAGGTGTTAATGTGTTTTGATTTGGTAAACAGGTTGGACATGATCTATTGATTGAATTCATAGAAAAATTGGCTCAATTTGGAACTGTTGACTGACTTTTTGATGATAAATCTAATGTATGGAATATCACAAGTTCATTTGGCAGATTTGTGAACCTAATAATAGAGGAGGTACATATGTAGTACTGTACATGCATGGAGTGAATCTCAAGCAAAACACATTTTAGCTGAACTTTAAAATAAACTTTTGGTCCCAATTAAGTTGTCTTTCAACACACAAAAATAGTGCACAATGAATTCAAACATTCTCCTCTAAGTTTCATAACAGAACTCAAAGCAGCATCGAGTAGATATATAATGTACATTGCACACATAGTTAAGAGATGAAAGTATTAAGAATAGGAGCATTGAAAGTTTGAAACTATACACAATAACAAGAGTATACTCTTGATAATATTATTTCACAATAACACCATAAACATAGGATTGAGGCACATGTAAATTTTGCTAGCTACATGACACTGTTTGAACCAGGAGAAATTTACATTATCATCTAAAATACATGTAGCTAATGAAAGCTAATTAGATGCATGTAATTAAATGCATGTAGCTAATTAGACTAATGAAACCTAGGGGCTCTACAATAACGTACTCTTGTACAGAATATTGTTTTCAGTTGGGAGAGGGAGACTAAAAACATGCATGAGCACCAATGTAAACAAAACTGGTAAATCAATAAAATTAATAATAAATAAATGTAACAATAGTTTTAGTCATTTATTATTTCTACAACTTTAGAGTTAGCAGCTACTACGTCTTCCACATTATACAACACTTCGGTCACTACTCCATCAATTGGCGAGAGAATGTTAGTCTAAAAAAATTAAAGTATTGTATCCTGGTTTATTTTGGAGGTGACACATACCGTACATGTATTCTGTGTTTTTGCTTTTAGTGAAAATTAAAATTAAAAATTCTGCACATTTATTGCCAATTGGTCTACATGACTACATGTACATAATTTTGCAAGCCACTGTAATTTTTTGTGAAAATATTAATTTTAATGTAGGGTTTAACAATACAATGCACTTGATGGTGAAAATAATCTGATACATGTACTGTACATGGCTACATGTACATATGGTAATGACAGCCTCACCTCCATCTTCATTCCCTCCACAGTTAACAGCAACTGTCCCTTTTTGACATTATCACCAACATTAACCAGGACCTGTTCCCATAGTAACAATTAGTTAATAGATAGGGACTTTACCTTATTGACTCTGGTTGAATAAGGAGGAGACTTTACCCCACCCACATCTCCAGAAGAACTTTTATTGTAATACTCTGGCATTGGAAACTCTACACTAAAACTGTTACCATCCTAATGATGACATAGAAATAATAATAATAACACCATTGTATGGTATTACATATCAAAAAAATAATTGTATTGTATGCGTGTACATGTACACATACATGTATAAAGGAATTTAGGAGACTCTTGGTCTGGGTTTCCCACAAGATTTTGGCATAGTGCTCATACACAATGTATCATGCAGCTTTGTGTCAGTGGATAGACAAGTTGCTTAAATATTGGGCTATAAATCCTGTAATGGGTATTTTGACAAAATAAAAAAAAGAGAATTCAGATTTCCATAAATATAATTTTCTCTGATACATGCACACTCCATTATCAACTTTGAGCTGGTTCTAATCAAATTTTAAAAGTTAATCAAATATCAAGTTAGTAACCAAAAGCTATGATAGCCTTGGTCTTTGGCTAAATTTAATTGGCTCTAGGAAAAATTTGGCAGTTTTCATAATAATTATTACTTTTATGACACATGTATGCATACATATCGATGTGTTGTCTATACACTTTAAACTACATGTACATGTACATTGTATATCCAATCAAATTCTGCTTTTTCATAAATCTTTAACGTTGCTCAAAAATTGGGCTAATAACCAAAGACTATAGCCTTTGGTCGTTGGCCCAATTTCATCAAAAACGGCTAGAAGAGAATTCTGCATTTTTATAATTTTAAAAATGCATATACATGTCCTTATGTTGTGTATCAAATTTAAGCTGATTCCAATCAAATTTAGATTTTTTATGAATTTTTAAAGTTGCTCAAAAATCACGCGAACAATCAAAGGCTATAGCCTTTGGTTGTTGGTCAAATTTCATCAAAAATGGCTGAGAGAAATCTCAATCTTTATACTTTTTTCTAATATATACACATGTCCTTATGTTATGTATCAACTTTGAGCTGATTCTGAAAAAAATGGATTTTTTATGAATTTTAAAAATTAAAAGCTGGCCCAAATGTACCGTACATGTCAGCTCATAAAGCATACTGTTTAGCTCATATAGCAAGATAGCACGCTTTGTGGGAAGCCCTGCTTTTAGTCTTCCATACTGCATACATGTAAATGTACATGCACATGTACATGTACATGTAGGTGTCCATAAGTCTCCCATTTTTGGTTAGAATGGACTCCCAAAATTTACATCTTGTACGTTTACGTGTATTTTTAGATTTAACAGTGACAATAATTAACACATGTACATGTACTTACATTAGTGAAGCAGTGTATTGTGTTTTCAGTAGTAACCACATCAGCAGATGCTTTCTCATTATCAATAAAACCATTGAACACAAGTCCTCCAGCTTTCTGACGCACCTGACCACTGCATGGTATCCACTGGAGGAAGAAAGATACAAATAATAATACAATGTGATTAAAGATAAAAATTAATTAACTGAAGAAAAAGCATAATAAAGAATGGGATGTCTATTACTTACTTGACTATTGTCCATTGAAATATTAAAATCATCACTCCCTATGTACTCCACAGAGCCAGTGAAAACTAATGAAAAAATTAATAAAATAGGAGTGCATTATACACTGTATAATTGGGCAAAGCCCACTCTGGTAAAAGAATGTCTGTATGTACGTGTGTATGGGCATGACTGGGAGGCATGGTCAGGAGGATGAGCCCTTTAATGTTTTACATTCTTTCTAAAAATATCAATGTAGTTTTACATGTACATACACTCATACTAATTAATTGACCTGCCTCCTAGGCCACTGAAAACATAAGTCTATACATGTACAAGTACATGTAATTACACATGAACAATGGCCTCTCCCTCTTCACAGTTTATGATATGATGCCCTAAAATACATGTAGCTGAATTTTGTATTTTCATTATACATGTACATGTAAGCAATCAAGACTAATGCTCATGCAACATGTACATGTACACTGTACATATACATGTATACTAAAATTAATGTACATGTACATGTACTTTAAAATAGTCAATCAACTTATGGTACCCACTAAAAAGTACATACAAGTACATGTACATGTATGCTCTCTTCAATTCTCTCTCTCACTTTCATCTTTTCCTTTAAGTGAAACTTTTCTATGATGCATTGTGTTAACTCTACCACCATCAGTACTGTTGAATGGATCTAATATGATAGAAGAGAGAGAGAGAGAGAGAAAGGAAGAAGAGATTGATAAAATTACATGCACATTTGTACTTGCAACTCAATTACTGTAGCTACTGTATTGCTCTTACATTTGTCGGAATCAGCTCAAACTTTCTACACAGCATAAGAACATCAATATGTATCAAAAAATGTCACAAAAATTGTGGGTGATTTATCAATGTACATGTACATGCAAGTATACGCAATACAAGTACATGCACAATGTACCTAAAGATAAATTTCTTGTATTGTTATATCTCTCCAGTGCTAGCATGATAAGAATACCCAACTTCTGCTGACGAGGGGATAATCCCTTGTTGCTAGGAAACAGACTCTCCCTATGTTGCTATGACAACAAATACAAGTACATATAAATGTAACTAAAATATCGTACACAAGTACCTCAATAAATCCAGTATGCACATCAGCATCAATGAATGACTGGTGGCTAGCTAGTGACGTCAAGAAGCTCAAATTACTATGCACACCCACAATCTAATTGAATATAATATACATTGTATACATTGATAAAATAATTATACATGTACATGTACATGTTAATAATGATAGTTACATGTACACATAGAATGCATGAATAGAGAGCACACTACATACAATGTACATGTACATGTATTTTATAATGAAAAACCATATTAGAAATCAAGAGTTATATTCTTGAAAATTTTGAAATCAAGATTACCATATAAGTGGTTTTTTTAGGGTTGCAACTTTCGTAAATTTCACAAATTCCTTCCTGATTTGCAAAAATCAAATCCGTGAAAATCAATTCGATACACTACCGCATAGCACACATGGTAGAATTTTAGTAGATTTTTACGAAATAAAATTCCCTCAAAAAAACCACTAATACGGTATACATGTATGCGCCAAAATCAATGACTACATGTACATGCATATCATGAGCAGTATTTCACAAGTGGTACATGCATTTTGCTGTACTTAATTTTTTGACTTGTAAGATGACACAAAAGCTGCTTTCCTTGCTGGAGTAAAAAATTTGGGTAAACAAATGTACATTGTATTAATAAAATACTACGGCTATACAGGCACTGTACATGTACATACATGTACAAGTATAGTAACAATAACATGTACAAATACATTAATTCAGAGTCAGACATACATACATGTACATGTACATGTATACTGTATACACATTATTACTGTAGGGCACCTTTTTTTCAATGGCTATAGGTTTCGCGGATTTTTACTTAGAGGATTTAATTTTGCGAAATTATGCCCATCTGCCATCTTGTACCATATTAATTTTATTTTCACAGAAGCAAATTTTGCAAATTTAAAGAAAAAATCGTGAAATCCGCAAAATTTACAGCCCTTGAAAAAAGATGCCATATGGTATTAACAATTGAAATTACTTTTAAATTATTAAAAAATTAATTTTGTAAATAAAACATGTACAATGTACATGTACGTAGTAAATACTTATGATTACCTGGTAGTTATGAAGTGACTGTACTAATTTATTAAGAGCTAATGTTCTTGTTGGACCCCATACAACTAGTTTAGCAATCATTGGATCATAATAGGCCGTGACTTCATCACCTTAAAGAGAGAGAAAGAGAGAGGAATTGGTAGAAGAAGGCAAAAAGAAGGAGAGAGAGAAAGAGAGTGAGTGAATGAAATACATGTATATGTATAAGTATTAAGGAAAGGGAATAAAGAGATTAAAAAGATAAAGAAGACACTGGTACAATTGCAAGTACATGTACTTGCACAGTGTACATGTATGTACCAGACGTGGAGGAGTGCATGTGTATGAATATTAGACATGTAAATGTATACATAATGTACAGGAAGATAAGAAGTACATATGCATGTACATGTGTGCTGTATTATTTTAAATCATATGCATGTACATGTGTGCTGTATTATTTTAAATCAAATTACATACATGTACATGTACAGTACATGTACGTGGGTCGTGTGCATGTAAGAGGATACCTTGTCTCACTCCAGTATCAATTCTTACTGTCTCAGAGGATGAAGGTGTGGCCAAATGACGCAATAGCCCAGGGCTGGGACTGAAAGACCTACAATGTACAAGAACATCAACATGTACATGGCATGGAGGAAGGATATTCACATGTAACATATAGATTAATATCAGAAAAAACATGTACAGTAGATGTATAAGTACGGAATGATCAAAACATGAGTAATAAGAATAATACTTTCAATATGTTACCTTATATTTCATAAATCAAAAAAATAATAAAAACAAATACATGACGTTAATACTACACTCAATTATTCATGTGCAGCATACATGTATACATGTACACACATTACAGTACATGTATACGGAAGATTTTTTCTACAAAACATACATGTAAGTCGAAATAAACAAAAACATACATGAGATAAAACAAACCACTAGAAATAATAGTTAATGTACATACATGTGTGTATGGTACTTGTACATGTACAATAACACAATCACAAAAGTAACATTCACTTGCTATCACATGTCATCAGACCTACATGTACATGTACATGTACATGTACATGTACATTGTGTACATGTACTCACTATCACTACCGTATAGAGGGAAATTTTGAAGGGAAATAAATTTTGCAAATTTGGCATTTTGATAGCCATTCGCCAAAATAAAAATCTGCAATTATGAGCCATTATACGCATGCTCAATGGCACATGGCCACAAATTTGCCAAATTAAAATTCGCCAATTACCAAAATTTAGCAATTCGCCAAATTTTAGACCCTCCAAAATTTCCACTATATAAGGTAATTTACTAATACACTCACTCTGATGGATTCTCTGCATATATCCTTGCCTCAAAAGCATGTCCAGTGCAAGTGATATCAGACTGGGAGAGAGGAAGAGGATGACCAGCAGCTACTCTCAACTGTAGCTCCACGAGGTCAGTTCCAGTTATTAGTTCAGTTATTGGGTGCTCCACTTGGAGTCGAGTGTTCATCTCCATAAAGTAAAAGGTCTCATCTTGAGTGTCCACTATGAACTCAACAGTACCTGGAGTGGGTCAGTGTGTATGTTATAAATTACAAAATAAATGTACAGTACTAATGTATGTATTATACATGTACATATAAACACGCGTACATAGGCATTCATGTACGTACACAACAATTAATTAACTACATGTAATTAATTAACAGCACGTTAGTTCAAAATTAATGCGATACATGTACATGTACATGTATATGTACACTGAACATGTGACAGGGCATTAAAAAGTTGAGTATACATGTACCGGAACATGTAAAATGCACATCACAAAAATTTCCCAATCTACGATATTATGACTTGCACAAAGTTGAAACATACATGTCGATGTACAAGTAAATTTGTCAGCGAGAGCACATGACATGCATAGTTTTGCATACACAGCAGCAAATCCTTCATTATGATGCTCAAAATAATTTTCTTCTGCGGATCCCTATTACTATACAGTATGTACAGTGTTCAATGTACATGTACATGTACATGTACATGTCATGTTATTAAGGCAATAAATTTTAGCAAGTACACAATTTACAAGTACATGTACATGTATGTGTACATGTACATGACATCAATTAATTTTACCTGCTCCAACATAATCAACTGCTTTAGCTGCTCTCACAGCTGCTGACCATATGGACTCACGAGTTGACTGACTTATATTGGGCTAAAGGATAAAAGACAAAAAAATAATTAATTCATGCAGTTTTAATTTTATGTTATCTTTTCCACTCTCTGACTCCCTCCCTTCCTCCCTTTCTCAAAAAAATATGAAGAGGAAATCTTTTACACACACATGCATGCACATGTACACATCCAAACTTTCTGCATGTACATGTACAAGTACATATAAATATACATTGTACCAGTACCACATACTGTAAGTCATATACATGTACATGTAATTTTTGTATTTTACTACCTTCATTATTTCACCTTTTTGTATCTGCAATTTTAATTTTAATTTACACAGATGTACATGTACATGTACATACATTGTATACCAATACAATGAACATCACATATTCACTGTAGCTCAATTAGTACATAATACATGTACATATTAAATCACTCTTTCTTTCCTCCCCTCTCCCTCTCTCTTACTCCTGGTGCTTCTTCTATTATCTTTTGGTGTCTCCTCTGTACACTGCAGTCCCTCTCAAACAGATGCAGTATGTTACCATGCTTATCTCCAATAACCTGTACCTCCACATGCCTATAATATAACAGAAGTCACTTAATAGTGGGACATGGCATTATTAAACAAAAGGGAGTTATTAGGACCCCATATTTAATCTAAAATGTACATGTACACATGTACATGTAGGTGTCCTGAAATGCCCCATTTTTAGCTTTTGCTCTTTCATATTTAAGGGAAAAGACCACTGTTACATGTAGGCCAATAGTTAGTTTATAGGAGACTTTTGTTCTCCCATTATTAATCTACAATGTATAGTGTATCCCACTTTAAGTTAGATTGGTCTCCCAAAAAATACATTTAGACTAGGTCTAACAATGGGCATGGCTACATTACCGTGGTTTTGAGAGATATTTCTCAAGTAGAACTTTATCATCATTGAATGACTTGAGAGCCTCACTGCGACAAGCCTCCAGCATCATGTTGAACTCTTCCCTCTCATTGACAATGCGCATACCCTAAAATACAATGTATATACATGTACATGTACATATACATTACATATATAATATTATATTATGTGTACTTTTCCTCCTCCTCCCAAATCAGCTTTGATGAGTACTGGGTAGCTGTGGATAGAGAAGAAGGTAGGGAGAGAGAGAGATAGTAAAGCACATACATGTATGTGTACATATATACAGTAATGTACATGTAATTAACTCACATACACATGTACATGTACATGTATTATACATGTATACATGCATGTACTGCACATGCCGTATATGCACTGCTTTCAAGGGTTAAAATTATTGCACGTGGTACATGTACATGTAAAATTCACAAATTAAAGTCTACAAATCAGAAATTTAGCCAGTTTTACAGATACATGTACATGTATACACATGTAATTCCCTCATAAACAAACTACATGTACTTACTATCTGGCACCTTTTCACAGTGGTACTATTATACGTATGTATATGAGCTAGTGTACATGTACATGTACAGTGTATGCATACCAAAAGCCTTCTCTACATGTGTGAGGCTAAATAATTCTAAACATACACATGTACATGTATAAATGCTACATGTACAGTACCTAAGAACCACTACAAACATACATGTAGAAAGTACCTGCATGTACATCTACATGTGCAGCACATGTACAATTTGTACAGGCATGTAGCAGAAGCACAAATACATGTACATGTACATATAAGTACAGGGCATGTGTTAGTAATTATGAGTAACTACATACAATACATACAAATATATAATGTGCTGTATGTACATACCCAATCTTATCAGCTTCTAATTGAAGATTTTCATTAGATTGGTCCTTTCCAAAGTATCCAGGGACAACAGGGACAGATGAAGTGCTCATTATCTCCTTAGAAACACTAAAAACAAATCAATATAATGTACATGTAAATTTATTAGTGTATACTTGTACATGTACTGTAGCAAGTTTCTTTTGCTAGGTGAAACTTTTGTTTCATCTAACTTTATGGGTTTTACTTCTGCTCTCAGAAAGGATCATACCCATCTACATACATGTACATGTACTTAATGTACATGTACTTCATGTGTTTTTGTAATTTTGTGAGCACAATTTTTGTTTTTGAGGAGCTTGGAGAACAAAAGTTTAGTACATGTAGAACAAAAGGAACCTGCTACATGTACATGTACACATGTACATGTAGACACAAAACCAAAGTATTATTATATTCTCCATTTTACATTCTCATCATCACAACTCTGACTCAGGCCACATTTTAGTGCAATCTAAACTATAATCTGTGAGACTATGCTTAAAAGTCTCCTTTTCTGTAAAAGTACCCACAATCTCTCTCTCCCTCTCCCTCTTTCTCTCTCACCGTTTCACTCCCATCTTTTCAATGGCTGATGGAGATGGTCCAATAAATTCAATACCTTCATCTTTACAAAGAGCAGCAAAGTTCTTGTTTTCAGAGAGAAACCCATAGCCAGGATGAATAGCCTAATAAAAAAGAGAATAAAATCATAATAGCCACTAGTAACACAGAATAAAAAGAATTATACATGTACACAATACAAACATTACATGTACAGTGCAAATTGGAACTACAAAGCATTGGGCCTACTTAGTAAATTAAGCCATAGCCTTCCATTAAATAAAGACATTAGAAATCTTAATGAAGAGATTGCATTACTTGAGAGGCACCACTATAATTGGTACATAACCTTATTGCAGTGACATAATACTGTTATAAAATACATCACATTAAATTAAGATGTACGTGTACATGTATGTGGTGCATGTACATGTATTAACAATAAATGTATAGGAGCAAAGGTATCAAATTATTATTCCACATCAGCAAGTACAAGTATACATGTATAAGATTGTAAGGAGTTACCTGGGAGCCTGTTTTCTTAGCTACATCAATAATCCGATCCATTCTTAAGTAACTGTCACTAGAGGGAGCTGAGCCTATACAGTGAGCCTCTTTAGCCTAAAAATCAATCAATAAAATTATTATCATAACACTACATACATGTACATGTACATGTACGTCACTCCAAATAATTAAAAAATTAATTAACAAAGCCATATGCAATGTATCTACTAACCACGTCAAGTGTCAGCCTCATAATGAGAAAAAATGATATTACACTAAATTCACCAAATTTCTCTAGTCTAAAATAACTACGTGTACATGTAGTTATATGCCACATAAGGTTGTACATGTAAATGCAAAATATAAAACATGTACAGTACATGTAAATGTAATGTAACATATAAAAATGATTTTATGCATGCATAGTAAAGAAGTTGAAATAAGACTAAGAGGTGCATACAGAAAAAAAATTAAGAGAAAAAATGGCTATGCTTAGTACATGTACACTACATGTACATGTGCGTATACAATGATTTGTGTAACACTAATTACCATTGCAACATGCATTGAATTCTTGTCAGCTTCACTGTATACTGCAACTGTTTCAATTCCCAGTCTGTGAGCTGTTCTCATGACACGACAAGCAATCTCAGCTCTATTGGCCACCAGAATCTTATCAAAGTATCTATTCTGACCATCACTTTCTTGTTCTCTCCAAGGACTAGTGTAGTCACGTGATACCAAACCCATCCATGACCTAAAAAGAAAGATAAAGATCAAAGTACGACGACAAATGTAAATTCTATACCTGGTAGGACGGATTTTGGAGTATCTGTTGAGAACAAAGAGAAGACCTCCACTGGACGCCATAAGGGTTAAAAACTTCAAAGCAATAAGGTGTGGCTAAAACTAGGCCACGTCCACGTGGCATCATAAGGTGACAGGTGTGAATTTGTAAAATCAAGTTCGATGGCTACAGGTTGTCATCCTCAAAGCAGCTCCGTTTATAGATTCTATTCTCGAGAATGAGTCTACACACAATTTAGTCTGAGGTACAATAACATTATCATTATATTATCATGATATCAGACTTAATATTATGATACCATAGTGTATCGTGATCGATGCTCAATTCAAAGTGAGGGACATGAGTTTGCGAGAGAGATGAGAAGATAGACCTCTTCAGGTGAAGTTGATGGTGGCCTCTGAATATCATTACTGTTTTTATGGTATCCACCTATGCATGATGATTGTGGGCTGCCATTTTGGATGGCAGGATTTAATAAAGGATAGAGCTGTTGCACGGATGTAATCAACGGGGTAGGTGGAGCTTCCTGTCGGCCATCTTGAGTGGCAAGAATGTACACACAACGAATGGAGGAATGGAAAGAAACTGCGATTTTTCATCAAAGAGATATCATACTTTGCTGCAGAATATTATAGAGACTTCTTTACTCAATATCTTCATCTCCTATCTTGCATTAGCCTGGAATGTCAACTGCAGAATTTATTTAATTTTTTTTCTCCCTTCCCCCATTCATTCTTGGCCTTCTTGCCACCCAACATGGCGGACAATTTAGCTCAATTTTAGCCACACCCTCCCGTTGATTACTTCCGTGCAACAGCTCTATTGAATGGAAAAAAACTAAACTGGTCCTTTTTGTTAGCATAGAGCTTTTTCAAGCTACAAAAGCTAGTTGAAGGAAAGAATGGTTGCTACTAAGCATTTCCTAAAAGGGATCTGGAGTAATATGAAGCATTTTCTTTATTATTGCTTGTTTTCTGCATTATCCCATTCATAGTCCATAGAAAATTGCCATCCACGAAAATTATTTCAGAGCAACACAGGCTCAGTCATGCCATATATCATTCTTTGATGTAATTCATCCTCACCCAAAGAGGTCTATAGCTTTAATAATAGAGACAAATTTTGGTAAAGAAATGTCATCGTTTAATAAACAAAAATGACGTAACAGATGAGCTTTATCAGATAAGAGGCTAATGAAGAAGTCAATGACTTTGTTATACCTGTACCAAAAAATAGCATTGTATTCTTTTGCATTAACAGTACATAATACCAGTAGAGGTTTTACTGCTGTCATATCCATATTCAATTGTAAAACTTTTGGCAGTGATAGAATCCAGACTTGCAAATGAAAAGAGACTGCCAATTGAATTTTCAGATATAGATATTATGAGAGATCCATTAACTAAATTACGAGTAATTAGAGAAGCAAAATTTGAACAGTGAAAGGAATGAGCTATATCAAGTGACTTGCTTGCAGACATGGGGCGAAGCACTATGAAGTGTACTTAAACACAAACACAAGCACTTAAATGTGTTAGAAGTACCAGCACAGGCACAATCCCTAGCTTCACCATAAGTGCTTGAGTACAAGAATAAGCATTCTCCAGAGTGCTTAAGTACATTAATAAGTACTAGATATTCATTAAGTGTAACAATATAGTGAAATTACAATTATAGTTGTTCATTGTACATGTACATGCACTTAGTCATTTAATTTACTATTGCATCTAATATACATTAACTCTGTGAACTGTTCATAATAAATGAAAACAGTAGGAGCTTTGGAGTGATTGGTGATGGTACCACTAATAGTGATGCCATTACTGTTCTTCAAGCTAGCACACAATCGCACAATGTGCTACTAAACTTGTATACTGCTGTTACTACAATTTACTGGACTGTGTAACCACTACATGTACACTATCAACGTACAATTTTTGCTGTGCTTAAAAGCACTTTTGTAATTTTGTAAAATTAATTAAGTTCAAGTACAAAGCACATAGATTATATTGAAAAGGCACTTGCAAGCAGCACTAAGTACTTTGAAAGCTGTGCTTATTTGTGCTTAAGTACAAGCACCAAGTGCTTGACCCCATGTCTGCTTGCTTGTTAGCTTTTTGCTCATGATTGACATAATCAGTGTACAGCAGTGGAATATCTGGACAGTCAAGATCTAGGAACATCATGCTAACAGGATGTGGTGATGAAAAAGTATGAAGCAACTTCAAAAGGACATCAAATGAGACTGGAATTGAAAAAACTAATTCTTTGAAAATGGGCCTTAATAGTAGATCAGCAAAAATATACTGAGTAACCTGACTGTCCAATAACTGAACACCCGAACAGCTTAATGTTAGTTTCTCTAGGTTTTGATGATGCTGTTATATCTCAATTATTGCCTGTGATAAAGGACCATGCAGAATTTGAAGATACCTTTCTATCGACTGTATATGTATTATAGTCATTGAATTGAAACCATAAATCTAACTCTTAGAAATTACACTGTTGTAGATACAGAACAGCAATATCAAATTCTGCTACACTCATGAATTTTATTGAGCACTTGTTCTGAAAAATATGATACCTTAATACCAATTCAACCTTGTCAGTGGGGAAGCTATAATTTTGATGGCCTCAACTGATGTAAACAATTTATTGAAATAATAAAAAATGTGCTCTTAAAATTGCACTCGTTCTCAAAAAAATCCGATGTATTATTGAGGTGCTTAAGGGTAACGTTACAGCCAGCCATTACCTTGATACCGTCCAATACTGATATGTTAAATTCATTCCCAGGAGCGTCGACAGGACATGGGTACATGCTGGTATATCTGTCTGGAGTGAGATGAGGACATTTCTGTGTGCACTGAGCTACGCAACGAATACTATACGTGGATTCTTCCTAAAAGCATTGGACAATGTCAGTATTAGCTGGATCACTATTAAATGTTCCCATACTGTCATAATATAGGTCTGGTATGAAATGATCATGTGTACACTCACAACAGTTATCCGTATCACAACATTCTATTTCTCATCTTCTCAATGATTCTAATTCTAACTCCTGGTGCCACAAGAAGACAGCAATAAAGTAAACTTCCAAGTGACAGGTTCAATCTGTGTAGCTGAAGACTGGCCTGGTGTGCCTTCAATTCTTCCCAACACATAGACAAAAGGCAATGGCTTTGCATACAGTATGCCTCATCCTTGCTATAGTCTTACTCCTTTGAAGTACATGTAAGATGACCTGAATCCTGCCATTTTAATTTCTAATTTTAGTTTTTACGCATTGCCTCTTAGATCACATTTGTTAAAGTTCACAAGAAGGGGTATACGGAATATATACACAATGATGGAATTGCAATTGGATCAGTCTGACAGATGCGCATGTGTGCAGGCCATGTAGCATTGTAGTCCACACTTTAGACTTTGGCCTTTGAATTATATAAAAATTGTGTCTAAACTCTCTCTCCCTCCGCTCCTGGTAAGCTCTAATGGCAGGAGTAGGTCATCTCCTAAAGCAGCTTGGTTTATAAAGACTTTCTGGTCTATTCTTGAGAATGGGCTTACACACAATTTAGCTGCGTGGTCTGAGGTACAATGATATCAGACTTAATTTTATGATACCATAGTGTGATGGCCTTGAATTATACATGTAAATGTAATTACAAGGGGGTGTGTTGACATGTTTACATAAAGATGGAATTTTTGTCTATTTTCAAGACGGTATAGATCTAAACTGAGTTGTTTTTCAACTTAAACGTCATCAGTTGAACTACATGTATTTGTATAACTTTTGTCAATAGCAAATTTATGTGTTCTTCAACTTGTTATTTCAAACAATGCTGGCTGTTTGTCAAATAATGTATATTTTTTGAGCTACAAGGGAGGTTAGGGATAATGATTTGCAAATTAACTTCGACTTTAAAAAGGTCAAAATTTGTAGTCCTTGAAAAAGAGTGCCCTACAGTATGATATTTATGAGAAGATAGATTGTACTTAATTTAATTTCAGTATTATATTGTATTCAGTATTATTTTGTTTTAGAGTGGGAATACCTTCCTTATATTAGACGAGTTATGTTTCTCAGTAGAAGTTCTTCCAAAGTGCATGTATTTCAAACACAAGGCATTTGCAAGTTTCATTCGTCAGCTCCATCATTGTACATGTAAGTATAAAATCCCTTTTATTTTTGGATAATAAATATACTAATTAGCAAGGATTATTTAGGTGTAGTTAGATCTATTAATAATTATTTATCAATTATGAGGTGTGGTTTTTATTTTCTAGATAGATTTAGAAAAGTTTCTAGACCAGGTCATGAGTATTGGCATGTGAACTTTTGGCAGGACCACCCTGAGCTTCTGCACCGTATTAATATGAAGGTAAGTTGGTATGGTTTGTATGTCTTGCTTGAATTTTTGTTGGCGGGGTCTCCAAGGACCCCCCCTCTCTTTCTCTCTTGACTATATATATATGTATATACCATTAAGTTTTATATCATTATTATTATTAGGAATATCATTCAGTCAAGCAGTCCTTACAATCCGGCCATGAACAAGTACAGGATTGAGTCTGAGTTTGCCATTATTATAATAATGCTCGAAGTGATTTTGAATAATTTTATTATTAATTATTTTTGTTATTGTATTTGTTTTAATGCTATTGAAGTGAGATTGGAAAAAGCAAGAGTTATTGTGTTAATAGTATCATTATAGAACTTACAATAGTAATTCATGGAACCTGTTTTCTACAAATTCATGTCAGTTTCAAAAAATTCTTTCCATTTCTATCTCAAGACTGACTTACTAAAATGGAGGAAGGTCAGCTGGACTGAGAAAATTTATTAGAGACTGACGGAGAGGTAGTAATAAAAGAAGAGGGAATTAAGTAGAAAAAAATGATGAAAAGAAAGAGGGAGACAATGACATCACTGTGTGTCAGTTTAGAGAAGGAATGTATACAGAATATACTAGTTTGGTATAATTATTGTATCAAGAGATTAATAAGTTAAAATAAAGTGATTAGTACCCCCACCAGTCTACTCTGTCTTGTATGAGGTGATAGTTAGGATAAGTATTAATACAAGTCTCTTCATGTCGCTCGTCTAGCTTGAGTATCCTTATATTCTTATTATTACTTAATGACTGGAGGATAAGTAGTATTGACTCAGCAGACAATGAAGTCTCCGTTAGATTCAGTTCAACTAGTGATGAGTTATTGAGGAGTAGGTGAGAAAGAGCCTGTCCACTAGTAGAAGTGATGAGAGGATTATGATAAAGATCTAATGAGGTAAGTGTAGAGCTGTGTTCAAGTGCTTGACAGATATTAGAAACTCCTCTATCACTAATGGAGTGGCCATTGATGTCTAGTTCTTGTATTGTTCTGTTATTAGTTATTAGTATACATAAGTACTGGATACAATCATTAGTTAATGGAGTCAACCATATCTCAAATCTCCTCACTGTCCTCAGGTTTAGTGTACTCAGTTTAGTTGATGATAGTATAGTTATTGTACTATTAGTAGATGAAGAATGGAGGAGAATCTCCTTAAAATTATTATTAATACTACTTATTACTTCATTACACTGAACTGGAGATGGAGAGGTAAGGGATACCCTGTCAAAGCCCCAGTCCACACTCCCAGTGACTCCTAGTATAAACCAAAGTAAAGATTATATTGATATACCATATACATAAATATGGGCAAGGCTAGTACATGTTAGTTGTCACTGACTGACTGTATTATGTGAATGTGTGTGTTTTGTTATAATATATTAAGCATGTGCAAAAAATTTGAAGTAAAATTAATGAATTAATTTTTACACAATCATAAGTATGTATGTACACGTGACATTACATACATGCATGCATGCACAGTGCATGTACAATATAACTGTATAGTATGTTCATAAATTATGTTATCACAAATATTCTACCTTTATCATGTTGTTCCTTGTCTTGTCTCAGTGCAGATATCATAATAGGATCATCATTAATAGTCTTCAAAAAATAAGAAGCTTTCTTATCATTACTAGATGAATCATTCCTTATCTTCTGTAAAATAGGAAGGGACACTTCTTCCACTGACAGTATAAACTCTAACAATTGAAGTGACTCCAACATTGAGTAAACACAACTACTAGGAATGTCTCCTTCATCACCAGACACCAAGGATCTTCCTTTCCAATAAAAACTATCATCCTTCCTATATATCTCCAGCCACTCTCCCTCACTGAATGATATATCAACACTGTCAATCACATAATAGCCATAACGAGCAATAAAAACAGATTTTGCTATTGGTTTATTCACTATAAACCAATGATACAATACATCAGTCAGTAAATGAAATGATGACACATACCTTTATCATGATCTTTATCTTGTTCCTTTATCTCCTGTACCTCCTCTTCCAGTGATTCTTGTATTTCCTTTAAAATACAGTATAATTATAATGATAATTACTGACAGTATATATACACATACTTGTATCTTTTGTTTCTTCCATATTGTGCAGTATCCAACAGTAAGCTCCATTAGATCATTCTTTTTTAGTAATTCAAGATTGTCACTCAATTTTATAATGAGAGCTTCAGTGAGAGAGTGAGGGAAGGAGCAAGTGATGGTGATAGATTGAGTGCTTTTGATGTTGATCAGTTTCACAAATTTACCAGAAGATTTTGATACAATATCAGTAACATCCTTCAGTTTATGCTCGGTAGCTTCCCATCCAAGTACATAAGTAGCTGTTTCACATTTAAGAGGAGGACTGGTCCTAACTACATCAAATGGCTCATTCAAGCACAGATCAACTGATAAATTGCGACAAAATTCCTTAATTTCCCTCTTGTAATCATAAATGTATATCTGAGCATTATGAATCTCAAAGTGTTCAACAACAGCTTCAAGGATGACAATATTAATGAGACTACAATTTTTTCTAATCAGACGCATTACACTTTCTTGATTTTTTATTAAACTCAATTCTGCTTCAAGGTCAAAGTTAAAATCTTCAATAAATGTCTTAAGCTCTTCTAAAGGAGGTGGAGATTGAGAAATAACTTTACGAACATTTGAAAACATTTTAGCAAATTTTGCATAAAGTACATCAAAATCTTCACTTTTATACTGTGGAATGTAAAGGGGAGCAACTGCAAAAATAAATATTACTGAAATTATTCACACATTACAACTCACCACTAGGTATTGATTTATTGGAATCTGAACTAGAAAATTCAGAAGATTCCTGAGCTAAAAATTATCAAAATGAAAACTGACTATTGATATTCTGTTGTAATGATATACAAATGTACCTTCATCATCTGATATCACTTGTGCAGCATCATTAAATACTTTATCTAAAAATAAAATTAAAAAAAAATAATTGTGTAAATTAAGCTACCTTACCATTGTCTCTTTGTATAACTGTTCCTAGTTTTACATTACCAGTGAACTTGCACAACACACTAGCAAATGTTTGTAGTAAACTATACTTGCTTTGAATAGCTACTATAATGGCAGCTAACAAGACTTCACGTTGATTAGGAACAGAGGGACTAGCTGATTCCACACTAGCCAATACTTGTCCTGTTATGATACCCTCTCTTTGAAGCATAATAGCTACATTGACAGGATCAGAAAGAGACTGAGAGAGGAGTGGATGATGAGTGCTGAATATATCGATAGCCTTAGCTTTACGTTCTACAGAATACACACACACAGACACACAGTTAATACTAATACAATCAGTGATATTAACTTACTCTCTTGATCTAACTTGTCAGCTGCAGCATTCTCATTCATAGATTTAAGAGCATCTGACAGTGAGTCAAAGGTAGCTCCTCCTTTACTGTCAACATTATCAGCTCTGGACAACCACTGGGAGAGGCATTCAATTAAATACTCATAAGTTGTGTTACTGTCCCTTTTAATGTTGTCCAGTGTGTTCTTGTGTAGTCCTAGTGTCAGTCCAAGTTCATGCCATCTTGTCTGAGGGAAATCACATCTCTTTAACAGATTAAGTACATCAATAAGTTGCTCTAAAATCATATTCAATAATACATAAATAGTTAATAAACATTACCAATAGTCAAAGGAGAAGAGAAGAGACTCAGAGAAGAGGAACAAGGACTGGTTTTATTTGCCATTGATCAAAGCCGGATGGGAAGATTGGGAACTTTACAAAAGAATCACATGGGAGGGGCTCGTTTTGGGCGGGGCAATTAGTTATTTTAACCCTCAAATGGTGGCTTTGAAGCAGCAGATTTTCACTCGAATTTTCATAATTATACCGTAGGGAACAGAGAAAGTTGATGATAAAAATGATGAAGTTACTAATGACAGCAAGATAACAGAGAGGTAGTTTAAATGTACATCTATACTAGTACATGAGTTTTAGTAAAATTGTGAAATACATGTACGATATTAGTCTCGCGTAGCCAGACCCATCCCCCTTTTTGACATTTGGCCAAATGTCAAAAAGGGGGATGGGTTTGGCTACGCAAGACTAGTACAATATGTCCTGTACCTGTACTTGTAGGAGCCAATGAAAGTTTTTGCCCTAGACGCTACATAGCCTATTGGCAGCTGTACCTGTAACAAAACACTATGGACTATAATAGTTTATGCTTCTTTCCAAAAAATGGCTCCGAAATCATTGCAATTTTTGTTACATTAAAAAAGTTTAAGCTGATTCTAACTAAAATTTTTAAGTTGAGTCCGTTTAAACAAATGAACCAATTAATATTATTGTTTTTATTTTATTTTAGAATTTTAACCAGAACTTTGCTGACAAACATTGAATTATGAAATGTACATGTACATGTACATCAAAAGTAAATATACATATGTACATGTAATCCTTTATCTCCATGTCTGTCACTATTTAGAGTGTTGATAGAAAATATGTGTTTCATTTACCCAACACATTCCCAGAGACTCAAAGTATCTTGAGATATGTTATTCCGCTTGTCATACTGTCCCTCCCCCACCTCCTCTGGTCTCTCATACAGATGTGTGTTTGGTACCAATACAAAAAGGTTAGGACACACAGTCAGTGGTATGTATAAAAAAGTGTACATGTTGGTCCTTTTATGTTTTGCCTCATTTTAGCAACTTTAAATTTTGTAAAAAAAATCTAATTTTGATCGGAATCAGCTCAACCTTTCAACAGAACAAAAGAACATGTATATGTATCAAAAAAATTATTCAAGTGAAGAATTTTATATTTTTTATTTTTGGCAAAATTTTACCAATAACCCTGTACTGACTTTTTCTAAAAATGCCTCTGAAATTATCCCAAATTTTTATTATATTTTCTGATTTATATTGATGTACTTATGCTATATAGAAATTTTGAGCTGATTCCGACATCAATTTTAAAAGTTGCAGCCAATTTGATAAAATCCTGAAATTTGGATTTTTCCAAAAAATGTCTTCAAAATCACCTCAATTTTTTATTACATTTTTTGATAAATACTGATATCCTTATGCTTTGTTCAAAGTTTCCAATCAAATTCTTACGAATTTAAGTTTCTCAAAAATCAGGCCAAAGTTCCTACACTACACATATGTACATGAAGTACAGGAACTTGGCCAAATTTTGCCAAAATTAAAAAGGAAAGAATTTTCCATTTTTATTACATTTCCTATTACAGGAGAGTCATTTCTTACTCCAACCGATACTGTCCAGTATATTCTACTTCTTGTCTTGTGTTCCTATAAGTACAAGTCAATACTTGATTCTGTTGAGAAGGAGAGGACCGGCCTCTCATTGCCATGACAGCAGAGATCAAGTACCAGTTCCAATGGGCCCCAGTCCCCTCAGTGTCCTCTTGAGTTAGGGTCCCTCCCTCTTGAAGATACTCCTCTTACTCCTGATACCTTGAGGTTCTCTTGTATTGATTGTTTTGACAGTTCAGTGGCTTCTGCTTCAGATCTTAAGGAGGTACCAGCTGGGGATAAGTCAATGTAGTTCTTTGGAGCTGAGGGTATGCTCCACCCACCAACAATAGTCCCTCTAATCATAGATATTATAGACTACCTAATGTACATGTAGTCTATAATATGTATGTCTTAATGAAGCTGTTGATGTCTCTGGAACAAGTACGTACACATGTACATTGTATATGTACGGTATTTTGTACATGTACATGTTCTTTTGATTGTGTGTTTGTGCTAATTCTAATTTATTAAAGATCCATTATTATACTTAGTTCAGTGTTAGTCTCAGATTAGCTGGAGGGTGTTTGTGTCAGCTGTTAGTTGATCACAAATCAATTCTTAGTAAAGTACTAGCAACTATTGATTGGAGAAACCTTCTAAGTGATGGTATTGTTGTTTTTGTACTTGTTGCTTGTTTATTTATTAATTACCAGCTCCATTGAAACTAGCAGAAGCTAACAGCACTGTTGAAATTACAATGTTACTGTACTCTCAGGTTGAATATTAATATTTATTTATTTATTTATTTTATTTATTAGGAGTGGCAGACATCTTTACAGAAAACAGTTGCTGTATATTTCACATCACTAATCACAGAAGGACGGTAATCAATAATTACTTTTAAACCTCATGTTAATGATGTTTGTCCTCTTGTTTTTATTTGTCTATTTCAGTCATGTTACTCACATCTCTGAATCTTTCATTTATAGTCTGGCATTGAATGTATCACAAAGTATCAAATCAATCAACTAATTTATTCGAAGTAATAATAACAATAATAGTCAAATTGTTGTTATTATTATTATTATTATTATTATTATTATTATTATCATGCAATGAAAAAAATCCTATGCTAAGACATACAATTATTAAATTATTATTATTATTATTATTATTATTATTTACTAGGAGTGGTTATCATTATTCATTAGTTGATCGTAAGATGAGGAAAGCTGGATTACTGAGACACGCACAAATTAACAGCAGAAGCATTGTGGAGAAAAGTAAAGAACATTTATAATATAATTTAGTTATTACTATGGTAACTGATATGTGGTATTTTGATAGTACACGTACATATTTGTCCATTGATTATTTAAAGTTGGACACACAATAGCCTTTTCATTTAGCACAGCTTTAAAGGAAGCTGATTTGTGCCAGTCTAGTAAAGAATGATCGGAATAATCGAAATATTAATTCATTGTGTAATAATAGTTGCTATGATACTGGAGTGCTGTAAAGTGATATTGTCACTCTGAGCAGAAGTAGTGACTTTTAGTAGCTGCTGTTTTTGTTGCTGTGCTAGATATGGTTAAGGAACTTGAGTATATCTAGTACGTGATTGTTGTTGCCAATTTTTGGATGTCGATTTCAGTGGTGGCGGGCAACATTACATAATTTTTTATAATTACTTTTCAACTAATTTTTTCTACTTGATTGCAATATTATTAATAGCCACATCCAACCACACCTTTTATTAATTAATTTCAGTTTATTAACCACAATTATAACCATGTATACATGTTCATTTTTACTGTAAAATGTAATTGGCAGTTTTATATTTGTTTACAAGTGCAATACTTGGCAATTTCACTTGCAAATCGTCAATCGCTAAATACTGTATATATAGCCCATGCTTTTTACCTAAAATGGCTCTGAAATCACCCCAAATTTTTATTACATTTTCTAATATATATTGATGTACTCATGCTGTGTAGAAAGTTTGAACTTATTCTGATTAAAATTTTTTGAGTTATGACACTTTTTAAAATAAGCAAATTTCTGACCCGCAGTGCTCTTGCTTCTGAAATACGGTATGACAGAAAATTAGGAAAATTGACAGGTTATTTTATAAAATAGGCTTCTTGTTGTAAGGTACTGCTTTGTGGTAAGGAATGATTAATATTCAGTACATGTATTGCTGATTCAATAATTAATACTATACTAGGTGAATGTAAACATTGAGGGGCGAGCAAAACGATTAACATTTCGATTAGCAATATACAATGTTTATATAGACAATGATGTAGCGGCTATTAAATGTTGAATGTCGATGTCAATACACTAATGCAGAATTTGTAAGCATGGAAGGAATTTCATAGTTTCTAGCTTTGAGTGAAGAATCTCTGCAGTTACATAGATCTAGGATGGAAGATGGTTGGTCTCAGAAGCCAGAAGGAGACTCCATTTGTTGTTTTTGGGTGTGACAGGGCCATCTCTAGCATTTCTCCGTATTGGACCTCCTCACGCTCATTACGAAGAAGTCGACGAGCTTCACGAGCATCTTCTTGTGAATAACTCATGTTTTAAGCTTCAGCTTCTCTTGTTTCTTAAGTACTCTTCAACTCCTCTCTTCCAGTTAAGTTGCTTTACTCTTACTCATTGTCTTTGCACGTGGTACCGTAATTATCAAAATTATCATTTTAAAATGTGTGATTATTATTTTTTTATAGACGCATAAATAGGAGTGACGTACGTGTACAAACAAACAGACAGACAGACATACTCGACTCGATTATGTGGGGCTCGCTTTTGCTCGCCCCAATCATTATTTAAACCATTCATGAATAATTCTGTTTGATGTTAATGATATGAATAAGGTGTCCAAATGCTATGGAGATCCGCTACATGGAAGCCATTCAACAGAATACCACAAGTGTACCTTTGCTTGAGCCTAATTAACCACTTGTAATAACTATGTCTCCATGAATACCGTATAGCCAAAAAATTTCGCGAGGAATAAATTTTCGTATTTTTGTGATCACTGTTTGCATCACAAAAAATTAAACCCCCGAAAATAAATATTAATTGAGAGGCATGGTTAACCACGCCTTACTAATAAACGTGCCCTTGTCAAGTCGTGTTCTCGGTCAAGCTGATGTCTCTATTACTCTGTATTGCTATTTTAAGCATACTGCCTAGGTCAAAGATGATGATCTTCCCCATCTCTTGTGTCCACACTGATTTGTAGACATGGTGCCTCCTGACACAAGAGTCCATCTCAAACATTGAATCTGCCATGTTTTAATAAAATAAGGCATGGTCATTATTATTATTAGAATAAAGTCACGAAAATATTTATCACAGAATTTAAAATTTCTCCATAAATTTCATTATTCACGAAATTTTAAGCCTCAAGAATTTTTGGCTATACCAGAGGCGAAGCCAGGGGGGCGGGCAAGGCGGCCAATTGCCCCCCCTTTTTTTAAACTCAAAATTTAAAAATAATCAAATAATAAGCTGCTTTTGGAAGGAAAAGCTGTTCTACAACTTACATATGAAAGGAAAAGGCCAAAGCAGTCTTTTTATGATGCCATTATAAGGCTGAAAAGGTATTCAATGTTGCCTATGATCGGTCAAGAAGTCCGCCATGTTAAAAAATAGGTGTGGCCACGCCCCAAAAAGGGCGTGGTTTTGCAAAATTTCGTGGTGCGCTTCACGCGCCGCACTGCTTGCCCCCTCTTTCCAAAAATCCTGGCTATGCCACTGGCTATATGGTATGTTTAAAACAGATAAACACTCCCTATGAGGCGTTTGTGAAATTTGTAAACCTCCAGCTTCGCCCTTGGTTTCCAAAATCCATAAACACCTCATAGGAGGTGCTTATTCATTATAACAATATGTCCTCTTGATGATCAATATATTGATAATATTGTACATCCTTATATGGTATGTGAGTATAATATGTCATTTCCTCTCTCTCTTTCTCCAGCTGGTCATTCTCAGGATTCTGATGTACTGATTGAACTGTGCGAATGTATTTTAATATCTTTATCATCCCTTTTATAAACATTTTTATTCAAAATTATATTATTATTATTATTATTGTTTTTTTCTTTTTATTTGCTCCTTTTTGAGAGAATTATATTGAGAATGGAAACAAGGCTGATTTACTCAAATGGAGAAAGGTCAGCTAGAGACAAGTTATTGACTGAGGGAGAAATAGAAATAATAAAGGAGAAGGAAATAGAAAAAAATGATGACAACAAAGAGAGAGACAGTAACATAGTGTGTGTCTGTAAGAGAAGGAATGTACAGTATTTACTGGAGAAGGAGACTGAGAGATTGACGAATAATTGTTTTATCAGGAGATTATTAGTAAGTTAGCATGGAGAGTGATTATTCCCACCAGCGAACTTTGTATCGTAAGAGGTGATACTTAGGATAAGTATCAATACATATCTCTTTGTGTCGCTCGTCTAGTGTGAGTCTCCTTATATTCTTATTATCCATTAGTGACTGGAAAATAAGTAGTATTGACTCAGTAGACAATGAAGTCTCCGTTAGATTCAGTTCAACTAGTGATGAGTTATTGAGGAGGAGGTGAGAAAGAACCTGTCCACTAGTAGAAGTGATTAGTGGATTATTAGAAAGATCCAATCTAGTA